GATCATCGGACACGCAAGAGGAACTCGAGTCCTCGGCACCCCGATCGGTGCCTAGACAACGACCCGTCCTCTTTGGTATCGCTTTCCGCCTCGGCGACGTGCGACTCCGGAAGGGACGCGGCTCGATTGGCAATACACCCGACTCATCGAATCTGGCTTAAAGCCAGAGCCCGACACGATACACCCTCGAAGAAAAGAAGACATTGCCGACCTCGAGAGGTGCCAGCATCCGCAAGTGCTTTGACAACAGCATCACCATGACTCACTTCCCACAGTTCGGTGGATGTTCTGGTCCGAACCCGTAGCCGTTTAGAGTAGGAGCCCCCGCACATGGCCCGAGGCGCCCGATGTCCTTCTCAGATGTACTTGCTCTGTTACGAGCACACGACCTTACATCGATAGCCCCCGATCTAGCCAAACGCGGGATTACGACACCCGATCAACTCCGAGGGACCTCCGAGAATGTCCTCGTTGAGATTGCACCCAGCAGACTTGACCTCGACCGACTGTTGTCGGCACTTGGCCGCAGACCGATGCCACGCGAAGTCGTGCCGGTGCGGAGAAGAGACCTTCCCCGAAGTCAACCATCTACCCGAGGATCATTAGCCAAAGCACTCGAAGCAGCGAAACCCGAGTCACGTAAACAATCTTTGGGGGATCTCGACATCAATACCTACGCGATGACGACGCAAAGATCCCGAGACTCCAGGTGGAGACTCTGGACGACCCTGGCCGACGCTTGGGACCTCGACCCCCTCCGGTTATCGGTTCGGCTGGTGAACGCGATTGGGGCAAGTCTCCGATCTGGGGGATACAAGTCGGCTAAACAGATTTTTAGCCAAGCACGACAAGAACACGTCGCTCAAACCCGAACACTAGTACTCCCCGAAGTATGTCTGAAGATGCAACAAGTCGAACGAGCTGTTGAACGAGGACGAGGTCCCACAAAGCTCAAGGACTCCTTCATCGTCGAGGACATCGCACGACTACCAGCACAACCCGAACATGCTGAATTCGAAGGTCCCCACGAATGGGCACGACGACTCCGACACAGAGTGGACATGGTGATAATCTGCTGCTGGTGGTTACTACGAGGCATCGAAGCAGCCTCGGTGACTCTGGGCCAAGCATGGGTGGAGATCACACATGCAGGGCGCACTGCCTTTATCACGCTTCCATGCACAAAGACTGACATAGTTGGACTGTGTGTGACACGATCACACCCATGCTGTTGTACTACATCACCCCGACTCTGCCCGTTCCATGCACTACAACGACACCTAGACCTTCTTCGATCGCTGGGATGCCCACGAGATGGTCCGCTCTTTCCCGGCAATGACGGACACCCACTCGACCATCATCAGACCATCGAGATCTTCCGGTCGGTCATATCAGCGACTGGGACTTCGATGACTCGCATGGGACCTAACGGAACACTCCTCGACAGGTTCTGCGAGCATGTCTGTCGAGTTTCTGGGTCTCAAATGCTTACTCGACGAGGCTTTCCTCTGGACACCGTGCAGCTCATCGGCCGATGGGGCAGCGACGCCATCAAGGTGTACGTCCAGGAGTCCCCACTACATCGAGGAGACGAATTTCATAGACCTGAGACCCCGACCAAACCCGAACAGGTCCGCGAGATGGTGGCACAGTATCTCGAGACACTCAGGACCAAATTTTGGGTAGTAAACTCTTTAACCAAAGTTATTCATCTCCCAGGAGTCTCCGAATCTTCCTGCGACAACACACATTGGCACACGATCTGTGGATGGCCATACGGTTTTGCACCACATCGCCGCGAGTATCGCGAGCCCGTAGGCCCGAAGTGTAAACGTTGCTTTAGGTTACGCGAAGCACAAGCCTTCGCTGATGCACAGCCCGACGAAGACGAAGACTAAACCCCGACTGACTTCCGCCCCGGCGACGTGTCAGCGGTAGATCTTCGCTTAGGTCACTCCGACAGATTGCTTCGATAAAGTACAAGTTCTCAGCCTCTTGACACTCGAATGTATCCCACGATGCACTTACTTGTACCAGAGCAATTTTGTCCAAGCCCGATTCCTACGACAACATGAGCAGCCCACTCGCGGCCGCCGCAGACTTGGCAGGGATTGACCTTGCCACGGACGTAGTCGCTAGGTACCTCGCTAAGCTTGGCCTCAAGTCACACGCGACTATCAGCACTTACCTCAAGGACGACGCGAGCATCGCCGATGTGGTCAAGAAGCTTCAGACAGGAGCTACGGCAGGGGGCGTCGAATTCAAATTGGCCGACGACACTGACGAGGACGCCCTCACGCCCAGTGGATGGTGCTCACCCAAGCAGCCCGACATGCCTACCATTCCACGATGACAACCTCGTCACCTTCGAGCGCACCGACTGCCCCGACTGCTACTGCTCCATCACACACCGACAAGGACATCGTCCCGAAGACGCTACCCACGGGTGTCTACAACAAACTCGTCGAGGACTATAACAGCATTACTGTCGATGGAGAACGCCGACAATTCCCGGAGAAGAACCTCGTGGGAGCAGAGAAGGTCCTTGCACGAATGTGGCACGAACACCACAACTCCAAGATGTACACCGCAACGGCCTTGGGGGAGATCGTGTCACAACGAATTTGGACGAGCTTCAATACGATCAACTCCACTAGGAAGAAGGACACCAACGAAAAGAAGTTGGTCCTCGATGAACGCAATAACATCACCGAGAAGGCCAACGAAGAGTGGGACGTGAGGGGACAGTGGATGCTCATCGATGCCATCGAAGCAATCCGATGGGCCTGGATACTCATCAAGTATTCCTCCGAGACGATTATCAATAAGTACGTCGACTGGTTCATCCGACTGGTCCGCAAACATTCACAACGCATTAACAACGTCAAGAGCCTTTGGGAGGAGTTCTCCTGGGATATCGCCATGCGGATGCGATCCAACGATACCTTCCAGATGATCACCGAAGACCTCATGAACGATTTGACAAGAGTGAACGACGTGATGCAACAACCATTATCCAAGCGACCACGAGTCGGCAAAGGCTCCGAACAACCCTACAAAGGCAAGGGCAAAGGATACCAACAGAAATGGTCCCCGCCTGGGCTGTACTAAAGATTTCACAGTTTGTGCAAATGCAAAGGACCTCGTTCCAGGCTTCTCAAGCAAATACAGCGTGGCAAGACATTCAATCGACACTTAGGTGTCAGTGGTTTCAGAATCGCCTGAACGAAGCTCAGACTGAGACCGAGATGCTGCGCAAAACGCTCTTCAGCTGCATTAGGTTCGATTCGTGTGCCTTGCTGGGTTCGCGATGCAAGCTCAGAGTTTCCTTTCCGAATCTTCGGAGCTGTGCTCTAGCATGCTTCCACGATTTGTTTTAGTTGTCACAAACAATGTCGCATGCAATGCTTTCAAATTACGATAAGGTGCAGCGATCTTCGCCTTAATTGGAATGACACGGAGATGCTAAGCAAACAGCTTCTCAGCTGCGGTTGGTTCGATTCGCGGCCCTGGCCTGGTGTGCGAGATGCAATTGCCGTCTCGGTCAGAAGCTTTTACGAGAGTGGCCGGGCTCCCTTTGCAGCATTGCACGGAGGTCGATAAGGCTTCAGGCACTTTGGCACCCAACCCTGCGCCGTTTCTTCCATTGTAGATACTTGAGCATGCGTTCGCGAGGCAACCATCGCTTCTTCTAATGAAGGAGCTTTGCACCTTGGCCGCCGACGAACCCCAAACAGGGGCATCTGTTTTTGATTTGCGGTTGCTAGTGGCGCTGTCGGAGCAAGTGTGGGGGGACACAGTTTTCTGTAAGCATTTTGTTTTTTGGTGGGGGGGGGTGCGTGGACCGGTCACGATCTGGGTGTTCATGACGAAGGGCAGGATTTGTTGTGAGATTTTTAGGGTGAGTTTTTTGGGACCCAGCGTGTTTTCAAGCTTTTGTGTCGACTATGTTTGAGACTCTTCAGTTTCCAAATGACGTCCATGGTCCGGTGCGTTTGAGAACAGAGCATCCATGCCCAAAACCACGGCATTGATGCTTGGGTTGAGGCATCATAAAACCTTGGCTTGATAGCCCCCAAAGACAGTGCCGTGCTTGCCATGTTTTTCTATGCTTTCATGCACATCAAATACAAGCAGAGCACGTGCTACTGCTGCTACTACTACTACTACTACTACTACTACTGCTGCTACCACCACTACTACTACTACTGCTGCTACTACTACTGCTACTACTACTACTACTGCTACTACTGCTGCTACTGCTACTGCTACGACTGCTACTACTTCTACTACTGCTACTATTGCTATTCCTATTACCAGCTGTTGTCAAGACGTTCTTTTACTTGATTACTACTGCTTCTGCGATGACCATGACTACTATTCTTGTTATTAATGACGTTATACAAACTATTCCCGCGTCCAAAAGAGAACCTTCAACTAATAACTAAACCCTACGCAACCTCCAACCCCCCCCAACCTCCCCCACCCCGTCTAGCCCCTATGCCTACCCCCGAAAAACGATACATAGACACTAAACAAAGAACAAAAGAAGAAGGGCCAAGACCAGTTCTGGACCTCCTTCACGCGTCGAGGTCCATCTTGTTGCAGTACCTTTCGGTGGCTCAGCTCCAATATACCAGTAACAGGAAGTTGGTGTGATTGGAAAGGTAGAATCACGTGCAGACCAACAACACTGGGACCCGAGGTGGGGGACATCTTGGCCTGGCGTTTGACATCTGTGCAGAACCAGAGTCCTAAGGCCGGGAGTGCTTGGCGGAGCTTCGTTGAATCCGAAATCTTCCGCAGGTCTTGTTACAGCATGTGGCCAACCTTTGCCCTGGCAGCTTGGACACGCCGGGACCTGAGAGCCGTCTGGCTCATGTGCTTGTCGCCCTGTCGCGAGCCTAGCAAATCCCTATTCATGCAGGCCGGACCTTATCGTCGTCTATGATGACTACATGAGCCGGGAGCGTGGGAGCTCGATCTCAGTCTCCAAAGCCATGGATGTCGAAAGACAGAAGTGCTTCGAATGCCTCTTGATCTGTTTAGCACGTGAGAGAGTAGGAGGTCCTTCTGCCCGCAGTTCCTTTCACCCTGCCAACTTGCTTGTCGTTCATCTCAGGCCAGGATTGGTGTCGCATGCTTTCCCGTGCCAGAAGAACCCATTCGTTTGATGAAGAGGACGTGTGTCGGATCATCCGCCAGCACCTCCAGACCTTCTGCAATCATGCACTCGACCCAAGAAACGAGGTGGTTGCTTCGGCCCACCGTTTGATTGCAGAATATGGTCGAGGTGGCAAGCCCGTGGCGCACAAGCTGATTATAGAAGCCACGCTCAGTCGGATGCGGCACCTCGTGTCGTTAGACGGAAAGGAGGTATGGGTGGCCTGGCAGCAGATGCCGTACTCCATGCGCCAGCTCGAAGCTGTCCTTCGGTCGCTGAGCAAGCCTCAGCGGCAGGAATGGGTGTCCTTGTTGGTCAGAGGCCTGCATCGAATTGAATGTCGTCTTGAATCGGTCAAATCGAAATTCACAGCGGCTCGTGCAGCTGAAGCTGCGGAGTATTTCAACGAAAGCCAAAAGCTGGTAATGGAGGATTTGATGCTCCTTTGGTGTGTTGATGAGGATCCCTGCCAGACTTACGAAGACGTGACAGCACAGCTGAGTGCTGGCTGGCATCCCAGACCTTCAAGGACGTGCGAACAACCTTGATATTCCTCCTCAGGTGTTGATCTTCGCCTGACAAGCAACTTTCCGGAAAAAAGGGGTGATGCATCAGGCTGAACCTTGAGAAGCATGTGAAGTCATGCCAAGTCTTGAATGTGACAGTCTATGACAGGCTGGATGGACGCTAACGGACATGTGCAGGCCGGATTGGGTAGAGGACAGGTTTTTCATCATGTTATGTGCGGTGGGTTGGACCAGTGAACAAAACAAGCACAAGATTATGTCGAACGGCTGGGTGCAGCCTGCCCAAGAGTCCCACTACAATCATGACTTGTGGTGGTCATCATCATAACTGCTTTTGCCATCATCATCATCATCATTACAATACTGGTGGCTGTGAAGATTTTGATGCATCTTCGACTTTTCTTTGGCACCGATGCTTCCCGTTTCCGTTGCGAAGGCTGGGTCGGCTCAAGTGAAGCAGTACCGTTCTTCAGTTAGCAGAGGAACCATGTCTACACAGAATCACGGATCAGATTCGCGAGGCAAAGTGCTTTCCACGAAGTCTGCTTGCATCACAGCTCAGATGGTCCAGAAGTTGTGTCAAGTTCTGCTGTGCCGGGACGAGGGAAACACTTGACACAACAGCCACTCTTGAACATGAGATCCCATGAGACTCAACATGTCCCCACGCTGTGATTCAACCCTTTCATCTCGCAGGAAGTTGCTTGCGGTCGGCTGAATGTTAGAAACACGTGGCTGATCTCGCAGGAAGTTGCTTGCAATTGGCTGAATGTTAGAAACACGTGGCCAGCATATAAAAACATGTTGTTGCTCGGAATCAGTTGTGAATGTTTCAGCGTTCGAATGTGGAGGATTGCTAGAAGGTGCAACGCTGTCCAACCCAAACAAAGAGTATCTACTGTCGTTAGCAAATGCTGTCAGAAACACACATACACACCCGGAAGCCTCGACGAAGCGTTGCCGGAAGTCCGGCGAGGCAGCATGTGTTTTGGGCAACACTTGCCCCCTGCACTTCCGCAGGATCCGGAGGTGAACAAATGGATGTCCCAGGCAGGGTGACCATTATCATCAAGACACTAGTGGTCGCTTTGAAGGTCTTGAGGATGAATATGACTGGTGCCGTTTCCATTCTGCTGAAGTAAAAACTCAATTCCTGCACAGACAATACAATACGGTGTTTCAGTGAGCCTGATAGGCTGAGCCATGTTCACGTAGATGCAATAATAGGTGCGTCTGCGAGCGACAGAGAGCACACCTAGCTAAGCTTGTTCACCTTAACTTGAGCAGACACACCTGGCGAAGATAATCGTGTGGGCAGGCAAGCTTCTACTACTATGTGATTCAGGCGCGATAGACAAGGAAGAAACTGGCAGGGTGTGGAAATTGCACGTTTCGGCCAGGCTTACATCGCCAACGGTAGCAGCTCACGTAGGCGAGGCTTCCTCCGCTGGGAGAAGCCCACGGCTCAGTCTCCCCTTTCCTCCCTACCTTCCTCCCTTCCCTCATCCCTGCCCTCAGGTCTGCGCTTTTTTATGAGAAGCTCTTGGCAACCCTGGCTGCGCTTTGGATGTTGGGCGAGAGGGTTCGAAGGTCAGCAGGGGTGTGACGTACCACAAGGATTCCGCCAGCTCGCACGGTTCTTGAGCTTGGGATTTCGCTCGGTAACATTATGCAATCCCTGCGACATGATCACAGTCTGATGAAAAGGCTTAAGCATCGAGCTTTTCATAGGCACTTTGGGACTTCGGATGGTGAGATTCGTTGCGCAAGACGTGGGATAGCACAACAGTGTTTTATGATTCAGGATGGTGTGTTGTGGTTTCTGTTCATATAGGAGCCGCATAGGTTCATATGCACTTCTATCTATAGAATCTATGCATGATTCAGATTTTCCAGGACGCTGCCAGGTATACCACAAGAAGGTGCCATGACATGGTCCTTTGCAGCGGCCGTTTGGGGTATAACAGAGGCATTCCAGGGGTTTCGGGCTTCCGCCGTACATGTTGTAGATTGCTTGACAGGGCTTCCATATACTATAGGGGTCCTACAGGCTGTTCAGTTCCGAAATTAAGGGGTTTCGGCCTTGAGGCCGGATGTATGGAACCCGAAACCTGCCTTTTTATTGAACATGCATAGGAAACTGTGTTGAAAAGCTGATCATAGAAGACCTGCATGAACGATGAGTTACAAATCAAAATCTGCATAGGCACTTGGGGAGTTCCCCGAGAGGTATTTTGCGCAGAGTCACGCAAGATCAGCATTGTACAGCTTGTCGGCCTGCTGCCAGGGCCTGCAGCTGCTGTGCCAAGCGGTGGTGCAGGCAGCAACAAGCTCGTTGGGCTGTTGAGTGTACGGATGTTCAGATACGGCTTGGACACATAAAGCAGGACACACGCTCTGAAATCATCGGATGAGAAAGTTGTGTTTCCATACTAGCGTTTTGACACGTACCCTTCCATGCGGCAGCCGCGGCTTAATCATTTGAGTACGCAGGCCCCTCTGCAGCGTGTCTAGGGCCGAAAGTCCGAAAGTAGGAACGAAAACACGCCAACGGAGCAGGGTTCGGCGTCCTTGGGTTTAGGATGGTTCCGGCGTGAGGTTTACATGCTGTGGGAACTGCATCGCACCAGCTCTGACACCTTTTGCGCCCCAGACGTGACCCAAACCTTAGCGCCCAAAGCTGCTGGCAAAAATGCCCTACAAACCGAAACCCGCAAGCTTGAGGTGGTCTGTAGGGTTGTCCTGGCGTGACGTTGCAAGCCAGTTGCAAAAGGGCTCCGGGTTTGTGGCAAACACTCCTTTTGGAACATTGGTTCTTTGCAGGAGCTGGAAAAACGCCTAAAGCCATTGAACTTCACTTTCAAGCATCTCACCAGAAAGACACTCGGACGCATCGGTGAGATTCCGTTCTTTCTTTCGGAACTTCATGTGGGTCGGTGAGATGGAAGCACACGGCATGCTCCGTCCTGTCTGAACCACGGCATCAACGGCAATGATGCATGGTGATGACGATGATGGTTACGATGTAGAGGAAGAAGATGATGACGACGTGGTGCCTCTGAGCCTGATCGTGAGAGTCACGCCAGTACCCAGTAGTACATTATGGCAGTGAGAAGACAAAATTCCCTTGAACATCAATCTGTTCATGAAGCATGGTAACGGTGCTGGTGCAGTGCGCATCTCATTGATGCTGATGAACTGCTGTGCATCGGCATGAACATGGTTCAACCTATCGTGCTCACTGAAACACAGTAGTGTCTTGTCTGTGCAGGCCCTGACTGTTTTACTTCAGCAGAATGGAAGCGGCACCAGAGCCATCATATTCATCCTCAAAGCTTCAAGTCGACCACTAGTGTGTTGATGCCCAGGCTGACGTCTCGAAGGTCTCCTTCTTTACCTTCTTTCTCCAGGCGCGGTAGACAAAGAAGTAACGGGCGGGGTGTGGAGGTGGCGGGGAGCGACCTTGCGCGTTTTGGCCAGGACTACTGTGGTACCCCGCAGAAGCGCAGATCAGGTTTCCTTCGCTTTTTCAGGCTGGCGGCTCAGATTCGCTTGTCCTTCCTAAGTTCCTTCCCTCCCCGTCCCTGCCCTCAGGAGCAAATGGTTTTGGCACGAGCTCACAGCACCCTGGCTGCACTTTGTGTGCTTGGCGAAGGGGGTCATCGCATAACCCTAACCCTCACCCACGGCAGGCATTGCTTTATCGCCTGCAGGCAACGGCCCGGAGCTGAGCCCGATCGTGCGTGTTGTAGGAATCGGCAGTAGCAGAGCAGCAGAAGTAGCAGTAGCAGTAGCAGCAATGAGGGTTCACGATGTCGGGGTGCAAGACGTTACGCGTGGGGTGTTTGTTCGAACGGCGACTCTTGGAGCAGTGTTAGGGCCGTGAAGCTGCAGGTTTCGCGAAATATTCGATCGGCTACTGCTACTGCCACTGCTACTGCTAACGCGACTAATTAGCTCTAGCTCTACTACTGACGACGACGATTACCACTACTGCTGCTGCTGCTACTACTACCAACAACAACAGCAACTACTACTACGACGACGACGTGGGGTCATCTAGCACTTTGGTGCAAGAGCTATGCAGCGCCCTGCAGCAGCAGAGAAAAGACACTCGGACGAAGCGGTGGATGATGATGAAGATGGTAAAGGTGATGATGACGATGGCGAAGATGAGGTTGATGATGATGATGATGAAACGATGCTTGCGAATAGGAAAAGATGCTATATGTTTCTATTATGGGCCCACCAGCACGATTACCATGCTTCATGAACGGGTTGATGTTCAACGTATTTTGTCTTCTGACGGCCATAGTGTACTACTGGTGTGACTCTCGCGATCAGGCCCGCTGGCACCACATCATCATCATCTTCTTCTACATCGTAATCATCATCGTGGCGGGGTGTGGATGTGGCGGGGAGGGAAATTGCACGTTTTGGCCACGGGCACGTGCGAAACCGGGGCAAGGTGGACTGCAAAAAAAACGTGTTTCGCAGGTTCCTCCAACTCGCGCACTCGTAACACGACCTGCAGCCGAGACTGACAGGAAGACCGGACCGGACGCGTCGATGTTTCCAGCCTTCGGTGTACTTGAGGCGGGTCCACCCGGTTTGGGGAAGTCTGTGGGGTGCAAGTGCGGTCTTTTCGCAACATGTGCAGTGTTTAGCCTCACAACCTTGAGCTAGCTGGAAGCATTAAGTCAGCCTAAAGCAACTCTGCTTTGGTTGCAAGGTTCCATGCATGGTTGTCACTTGTCATGATGGTACCTCGCATATTCTCCAGCAGGTTCTGGCGCAATTCGTGTTGGATGACGGATAAACGGTTTGGACGTACGCTGTTGATTCCCCATGAAGTTGCAGGTCCGTTAGGATGCCCCTTCAGGTCAGGTGCCCATGCAAAAAGCCCTCTGCAACGAGTGCTATGCCCTGGGGAGGAGTGGAGCCAGACCTGGTCCATGTATCCAGGCCGGCGCCTGCTGCAGGCGTCGCAGCGCAGCTTGTGACAATGCTGTTGCTCTACCAGCTATCTACCCGAGCCCAAACAGAGCAATCGTCAAGTTTAGTGCGAAAGAGCTCGCGAGAAGAATCAGAGATCCGAAAGTATGTGACGTGCAAAATTTGACGATCCTGTGTACGAACTTGCAAGGAACCAAAGACTTGGGACACGTCTCAGTTGCGGACCAGCCGATGCTGAGTACTTCTTTCAGGGTCTCGCAAGTCCTCCACGCACAGGATCAGTTGCAGTTTCTTCGAACCCAGAACAAGGATGTGCCGAGCTTTGTGCAGAGAGGGGCAGAACCAACAAGGGCCTAAATAATTACCAATACCATTTTCCCCAAAACCCTATTCTAATTATTGAGGCCCCTATATTAGGCAGGCTGAGCTTCTCTCTTGGCTTCAGGTGCGGAGACGGCCAGTGAACGGCCACCGGCTGTCGAAGGCGGCTTCGGAGCGTGGGTCTCCACTATCGACATCTATCTACTTTTGACAGTCGCCTGATCGATAGTTCGGGCATCGCTGCCTGGAAGGGGCAACCGGAAGGGGAATTAAGGTTCAGGGTTCAGCTGTTGCGTCTAAGGCCGTCATAAGTTTAGTGCCAATGAGTAGTGATCATGTCAGTCATGACATTGCCAAAATCATTACACTGGTTGCTGAGAAAGAACGTGACAATACTGATAACAATAGTACTAAGTGCAGTAGCAAAACCATGCACGGTGCAAACATTCGAGACATCTTCCTCAAGCTTCCGGCTTTTCTGACAGCATGGGGGCAGGCCAGCGGAAGCGCGGCCTCAAGCAGCGGCACCGGGCACTAGGAGTCAAGACCTTCGGCAGGTGTGGACAGGTGAGCGGGATTGCTCAGCCCCCACGCCGACTTCAAGTGGAAATTTGAGCGTGGGGAGCCTTCTTTGGCCCTAGGCTTGTGCTTCTGCGATCCCAGAACTGTTTGTGAGATGTTTCTGAAGCCAAAGGAGATCTTTGTCGGCTCAGACAGTCCATTTAGGGACTGGTAGTCGGCCCGTGGTCGGGGCAGCCTGCCGGGCTGCTGGCGCGGCAGAGACCTCAGGGCAGAGTCAAGCAGACTGCAAGCTGAGCGCTGCCAAAAGAGCTTGTGGTGTTCGGTGCTCGGAAATTCGACGAGGCCGAACCCGCCGTCCTCCAAGGCCGCGGTGTCCAGACTGCAAGATCTCATGGCGGCGGAAGTGGTGTGTGATCTCGACTGCGAGTTCAGGGCGCGGCTGACTCCTTCGAGGAAAGGCCGACCGTGGCGACCATGAGACCGCAGGAAGCTTAGACAGCGAGGCGTAGAGCGAGCGGACGCCAGCACTGCACACACCAGGCCTAGACCAGAAGTCCTCTGGAAGAAGCATGATCGAAAAACCATGAAGTCGCGGCCCTTGGTCCCCCGTTCGCGCACCAATGAGTAGTGATCATGACAGTCATGACATTGCCAAAATCATTACACTGATTGCTGAGAAAGATCGTGGCAATACGGATAACAATAGTAATACTAAGTGCAGTAGCAAAACCATGCACGGTGCAAACATTCGAGACATCTTCCTCAAGCTTCCGACTTTTCTGACAGTTCGCAATGTTGAATTTTGGATCGAATGGGCTTTCTCGCACGGACCTGTTTCGGGACCGTCCAATCCAGGTGAAAGATGGTCCGGGGCCGAGCTGAGCGAGGTGTGAAGGGGGCCCAGTGATTCCAAACACCCATTAATTGAAGAATACACCCTAAATCACGCCGAGGGTAGTTTAAGATCGTTTCCCTTTTTGCAGGCGTTGAGTATCTCTTGGAAACTTGCTGTGCAACCCTTGTGTACACGGTACATGTGCTGAGAACTCACCATACATGTGTATAGTACATGTTGCTCAGTTTGCCATATAGGAAGCAACACTGTAAATACTCTCCCAGATTGCGTAGTTTGCGTTACTTGTATGTCATAGCTTTGGGGGTCACGCAGTAGGTTTTCTGTCGTGTGGGATGGGGGGACAGGTGAACGGAGTTGCTCCATTTTAGCGTCGGAGTTCCTGACAGCCGCCACACCGACTTCAAGCGAAAATTGAGTGCCGAGCACCTTTTGTTGGCCCTAGGCTTGTGCTTCGGCGATCCCAAAACTGTTTATAAAGAGATGTTTCTGAAGCTAAAGGAGATCTTTGCCGCCATGCAAATGGTCTTGGCTCCGACGGTCCATTTAGGGACTGGTAGTCGGCCCGTGGTCGGGGCAGCCTGCCGGGCTCCCGGGCTGCTGGCGCGGCAGAGAGCTCAGGGCAGAGTCAAGCAGACTCCAAGCTGAGGGCTGCCAAGAGCTTGTGGTGCTCGGTGCTTGGATTTTCGTCCAGGATGGCGGATCCAGGCTCTCCGATGTCGCCTCCCTCGCCGAACCCGCCGTCCTCCAAGGCCGCGGTGTCCAGACTGCAGGATCTCATGGCGGCGGAAGTGGTGTGTGATCTCGACTGCGAGTTCAGGGCGCGGCTGACTCCTTCGAGGAAAGGCCGACCGTCGCGACCATGAGACCGCAGGAAGCTTAGACAGCGAGGCGTAGAGCGAGCGGACGCCAGCACACGCACGAGGCCTAGACCAGAAGTCCTCTGGAAGAAACATGATCGAAAAGCCATGAAGTCGCGGCCCTTGGTCTCCCGTTCGCACGTGGTGGACGTGTGTTGCGGGCTTTGCAGGACTGGTCAGCGAGGAACCATCTACTGGGTGGGGGCCGAAGCTGCGCACTGACCGCGCTCAGTGAGACGTATGGCCGTGGCAAATCCTGTGCAGGTTGGCAAACAGATCATCGCAGAGGACTGCTCACGCCTGGCCCTGGGGCGAGCGCTCTGTGAAGTTTCCGCTCAGGATGGCTCCAAGACTGGGCAGGTGGAGAAAGGAGCTAGCTACCAGGGCGAGTGGGATAGCTGCTCGGCCAATATTTCGACTCAGATGATGCCGAAGCCCATCATCACTCATGCAGACTTGAGCCTCATGCCTTAGCTGCATGTGACGAAAGCTAAGACAACGAGAAAAACGGCTATGGCGTGCAGGTGCGCTTTTTGATTGTCTTCGTTGCAAGAGGGTGATCGTATTTAGCTGCAATTAGCTGCATACATGCTCCAAAATGCTATCTCGTGCAGTATGCAGGTGTTCCCGAACGGCCAAAAGTACGAGGGCCAATGGGCGAACGGGATGCGGCTCGCGTCTGAGACAGATCCGGCAGTCTGGAATTTGATGCTGAAGCTCTGGAGTGTATCCGCCAGGAACGGCGAAGGAACTCTTTGGGTGCCTTTCGGCAAGGTGGTGGATTGTCAGGGTTCCCGATGTTGATGCTTCGTGCACCGCTGTCGTGGAGGCGAAGAAGCTTCGCAAGCTGTATGTCGGCGGCTGGAAGAACGACAAGCGACACGGTGGCTCGAAATGCATGGGATATTCTCATAGTCTTGCCTGAAGCAGTCACAGCCGCTGCCGCGCTGGACCACGTAGGTCGTGGCACGTGCTTCTTCAAGGACGGGCAGTTCTTCCAGGGTGACTGGACGCAGGCCACTACTGCACGGATATGCAAGGATCAAAAGCCGAGTCCCGTAAAATCGCTCGCTTCTCCAGGGCAAGATGAACGGCCAGGGCCTGCTTCGATACAGCAACGGCTGGCTCCCTAGTGCACGTCGAGGCTGTGAAGCCTTTCACGATCCCTTGGCCTGCCGAGGCGACCTGTACATAGGCGAGTGGAGCAACGGCCTTCGATCTGGGCAAGGAACCTTGACAAAGGTGCGAGGACTCGAGTGCTGAAGAGCGAGACATCAAGCGGAAGATGCATGGATGCTGGCAGGCAAACGGTGACTGCTACGAGGGCTTTTGGCTCAATGTGCGCCCATCAGTGCGGCGAAGAAGTTCAAGTTAGGCGCAAGTCCAGATGTGAATTCATATCCTGTTCCATGCCAGGACAAGAGAGAAGGTAGCGGATCCTACTTTTATGCCGAGAGCGGGAAGGTCTTCGTCGGAGAGTGGGTAAACGACCTGCCCAAGGCTGCTCGATGCTGCTCGCGTTGCTTCGGTATACGTTGACCCCCTCGTCCTACATTATGGGGCGCTCAGGAGACCGGCAAGGCTGCAACATGCCATCATGTTGTTGTCTGTTGCCGCCCGCAGTGCTCAGGCCTTCTCACGCATGTAGCCAGGTAGGGATCTCTTGATGCATGCGGGTGGTCAATGCTGGGCATGGACAGCCTTCACGACGCCTTGCCGGCCGTATCCGGCGGTTTCGGCGGCTACGAAGCGGACCCGAAGTCCGAATCTCCTCACCAGTCTTGGCCTCTGCTCCTTTCCAAGCTGCGTCTGAGCATCCAAGAGTTCGGAGGACCGCCCAAGGCCCGGCCGCTAGAACTGCAAGGCTGCAATATCATACAGAAAACAATAGTAACAATAATGCTAACAACAATGACAATAATAATGATGACAACACTGATATTGATTAGTACAAGTACCATCATTATTGTGATGTGGATGCCAAGAGGTACACCTTTGAGTTGCGGTCCTCAGGATTTCGTGAGTCGCCCTGACAGGTTGCAGATGGCCCGGACCTTCGCGTTGCCTCGGTGGTTTTTCGACTTCTCAAGGAACACCCCGACTGCATCGACCTCTGCGATTTGTACCTGGGCAGACATGGCCAGCAGGTGGAAAGCCTCTGCCGACAAGTGCTGCTACGTGGCCCCTTTGCACATATTGTAGAGGTGGGTGCTGGAAAAGGTCTCCTTGGACGCGAGCCTTGATGCGGATTACGGATTTTCTAGAGGGTGGACGAGACGTGGCCGACCCCATTTTAGATTCTGTATTCGCTTAGGAATCGGAACTCGGAGCCCAAAGCTTCTCAGATCAGGTGCTTCAGGAGCTTATGCCGGGATCCTCTTTAACCAACCTGGAGATCAATTCCGGTCATGGCGGGTTCGACCGTGACGACACCGAGCGGATCGTGCTTGACGTCCGCGAGTCATCCCGTGTGCTGGAGCTGTTGCAAAGTCTGACATCGGGTCGCATATGCGTCGTGGCGAAGCATTTATGTGGTGCTGCGACTGATGCACTGCTCCAGACCCTGGCGTCCTGTCCTGTGGCGAATGCGATCCTGATTGCTCCGTGCTGCCACTCAAAAATCCAACATCTCGAAGAGTACTCGAATTCAGACTTCCTTCGTGAGCGATGCTTCTCAGCCAGTGAGTGGCCGATGCTCATCAAGTTACTCGCTGTGGCGCGACTGAAATTTGACCAGGATGCTAGTGGCAGTGGCTCTGCATCTGACAAATCCTTCAAGAGCTGGCAGCGCGCCTCATCTGCAAGTGAAACGATGGCTTCCCTTGAGGGCACGATGCGATGAATGTCGTCTTTCTCAACCTAGGTTGGGAACATACCTTTGGTGGCAGGAAGGAAATGATTGAGATCGGGCGTGAGGTGAGACAACTGCTTGAGGCAGGTCGTGCGCAGATTCTCGAGGAGCTGGGTTACAGCACGGAGCTGCTGCAGTACGCTCCTGCACACACCACCTCTGAGAACTTGGTCATCGTAGCCGAGAAGCCCGCCGTGGCAGCCGTAGCCGTGAGCAGCCCGAAAGGATTAAATGCACTGCCCAAAGTCGGAGTGCTGCTGGAGGCTCCCAGTGCCGCCCTGCGTGTGGCCCAGTTTCTCGTGGAAGTCCGAGGGCAGGTTCTGGACAACACGGATGTGCTGCCCTTCTTGGCCGCCTTTGCGTGCTCAGACGACTCAGTGGCGGTGATTGGCAAGGACGTGCTGGAGGTTATTTCGGCTCTTCGCGAGCATGCCCTTCTGATGGTGCAGCTGAGAGTCGTGACTCGAATCTATCCGTGTCTTGGCTAGGAAGATGAAGCCGTCAAGGGTGAAGAAGGGACGAGCTGCTTCTTTTGCTGATGCCGTTGCTGCTTGCGTTAATCCTAGGTTCAATTTTGCTGTGGGTTCGCTGGAAGAGGTGCCTTTGCAGCCACAAGGACCGGTGCTTGTGAGCTAGAGCTCTGCAGTTCCTTGGGTGACTGGTCTCAGGAGTCGAACCACCCTTCCGTTTGGCGGTCTCCCCTCGTGCATTGCTCGACGGGGTTCTTGCAAAGGCAACGGATCAAGGAGACTCAGTGGCACTTCCATCATTTTTGTGACAGAGTTTCGCTTGTCCTTCACGGCTGAAGGCGTTGAACTCTCTCCACAGCACTTCAATGCTTCGATCACGGCCAGAAGCTTATTATGGGTAGTTTGCTATGAGCAGACTCGGCTACTAGTAGCGAGACACGCTGAAGTGAAGGTCCGTCGGCTTTGGGACGGGAGCCTCGGTGTCGCCTGCCTTCCTCGAAGTGTATGGCACCCAGGCGAGGAGCCTCAAAGCTGGCAGCCTGTCAGCAATGGTCTTGACGGTCATGTGGCGAGGGCCCCTAAACCTTAAGATGATGTTTTTTTTTCAAGATTTCCGAAGGACTCTGGGCTCCGACGACTCCGACGGTTTGCAAGAGAGGAAGCTGTCGTCTTTGCATCGCTTGCGCTTCCGAACCCCGCCATGCTATTCCAGCACTGAGGGCTTTTCAGATGAACTCGTTCGCTGCTACTCGAAATCACGGCGGCTTCATATCCGCTGCATCGAAAAGCAGCCCAGGACTCCAAGAATGGCAGCAAAGGCTTGGCGTCAGCCGCCTGGCTGCAAGCTCGGGCTTCAATCCCCACAGTTCAGGGCAACAGCGCACGTCATGTCCATGTTATTGTTCAACCTCCGTTTGTACCATTCGAGGCTGTCGGCACGTTCCTTCAAAGTTCCGTTGGCTCTGCGTGTGTTTCTTGCTTGGCTCATGAGCTTTGATTTTGTCTTTTAGCTTTCTGCTTTCCGGAATCCTCAAGCCCGGATTCCGACCGGCAAAGGAAGAACTGACAATGTTTCTGTGCTGTCTTTGCATCATGGTTTCTGTGCTGTGTCTTTTCTCCACGGAAGTCTTCTGCGGGCATCGTGCGGCCAGTCCACTCAAGGCCGCACGGTCGCGAGTTGTTGCCCTTGCTTGGTTTGCCGTCCAGTGTAGGATCCAAGGGCAGAGCTTCGGAGCTGGCTTGCACATAAACCTAGGCCTCCGCGGTCAGCGTGCTCGTGTGCACAGCCCTCAAGCAGAATGGCTACAGGCCCTTCAGATGGAAGGCGTGCAAGTCGTGTCAGGACGGTGCCTTCTGAAAGTAGGTGTTGCTTTAGCAGACATGAAACCCATTTTTCACGGGCTCAGAGGGTCACACCAATCTCTGCATTTCGGGTTCAGGACTGGGGGTTTGGGGTTTAGGAATTGGAGGGGGCACACGGCATCGACCACATGCCGTGTGCAACATAGCCATGGTTGTGCATGGGATATCCAACTGACTGGTTGTAACTGCTGAGTCGCATTCCGCCTTGTCACAGCCAGTTTTGGTCATCATTACGTGGTTTGCTCCTGACAGAGTTTTTTGGCGCCTTTGCATTCTAAGCGCTGTTTTCGGACCGGCCTTGCGTGCGTTGCGCGTTTTGCAGGAGAGGTGGATGCCGACGTGCTGGTCGTGGACTGCGGGCGCTCGTTCCCAAGAGGTTTCGAGGACTTCAAGCAGAGCTACCCTCAGACTTGAGCTCCTGCTTGGTTCATGGCACTGTCGAGTCATGTGCACATCCCGGCCTTTCCCGGCCCCAGGTGCACCGCGCAGATGGCACTGGCTATCGTTCCGGTCGCAGAAGGACGGGGCGGCAGAGCAGCTCGAGCGTCGCAGGTGCTGGTCGAGGCGTGGCTCCGGTTTCGACAGCTGAGCGTTGACTTGTGGCATGTGCGATGTCGCGTGTATGCTGCGTCTGTGCAGGTGAGCAAGGTTGTCGGCAAGATCGGAACTAGAATGAGTGCCCACCATCTCTTAAGCAATCGTGACCAAGAGCGCACAGTGCTTCTGCGCAAGCGACCTGCAAAAAGTGCGAAAGGCTTCATAGGGTTACCGCTCTTCGTCGGGTCTGTTGCGACAGGCAGCCGCAGGGGTAGCATAGAACAGCTGCTGGCCTCCCCCCGGCACTTACATCTGAATCTTATGATGCAGAGAGGAGTCGGAGTAGAGCCGATCCTTGTCCGCTTGCCAGGCTGGGGTCTACACGCAAGCGAACTCGAATCCGGAGCAGGCCACGCCGGAGACTTAGCATGCACACGGTGGGCACCATCGGGCCAGATAAGAGTGAGGGCCAACATGAGCAGAACATGTGCTCTGCTGAGTGTGTAGAAGCATCGTTGCTTGGCTTGAGGCCCGTCCCGCAGACTACGATTCTGCCTTCGCTGATGCTGGCCTTCCCCAACGAGGCAGAGTACCCATTGACGCTAATCAGCTAATCAAACCCTATGCAGCCGCAGCCCTTTGCATCCCTATTCGCCCTGCCATGCCAGCAGCAGAAGCCGAGGTCACAGTCCTGTCTTGTCTTTCAAGAGCAGTCGCCAGGTTCTAGATGGAGCCCTTGCCGCAGTCCGAGAGATGCAGCAGTCCGGCTCCCGGAGAAGTTGTCCTGCACAGACAAGAGAACGCTCCTTTCAATATGAGTTCCATGGCTGACTCCATCACGAAACTTTCAACGTGGCTGTGCAGTTTCTCGCCGGACTTTGCTGAAAGTGGGGAGCAGGCCAAGTTGCATATCTGCTTCCTGTCACAAGCTGGCGGCAAAGCGCCGGGTGAGGATGTCAGGAGTAACAGTTCAGAGCAGCGTGTGCAGGTCGACGAGGCAGAGGACGAGTACGGCCATGAAGTGGATACTACAAGTAATGCAGTCCGAGCCCATGCACTAGCCACTCACACATCAATGTCAATCCTGTGCTGGGAAAGGTGGGCATAAGCAGAGCTGAAGAAACAGGCTCGCCGTGAACCCGCTGCCTGCGAGCAGGGCAGTCGCAAGACGCGACCAGGTTTCATGACAGACAGGAGCCCCACTGGAATAAGCCAGGTTCTAACATAAAGGGGACGTACTAGAATGGCCGCCCTGCGAATTGTTTCACTTGTCTCGTAGATGGAACATTGATCCATGTAGCATGTAGACCAGGTGCGGATTTTCCTCGCACGCATCCGTCGATGGACGGAGCAGTTCAAGAGTCGTGCCTTTCACATAGCCATACCGTTTCGACAGCCTCCCAGCTTGGTTCAGTGCATGCCATACTCAGTCTGTTGCTGCGCGCAACCATGTCACTATGTTTCACCGCTACGAACCACCTGCGGTAGTAGCTCTGCAAGGTAAAAGAAGTGCTGTTACAGAAGTTTCGTGAGAGAAGTCTGGGTGTATGGTTGGTCGTCTGCTTTGCATGTGTGTACACTTCTCTATGTCTCTTCAATCTTTAAGACGACATATCCAGTTACATATACACACATATGTGCAGTTGAATGTGTAACTTTGGGCGCCTTGTATACGCACATACATCGATGCGAGCTTAGATATGTGCACATACTCTCTGAACATAACTACAAATGCAAAATAAATAGACCAATAAATGGACATCTACATATATTTCAGTACCCTTACCCATGTAACCACCCATATACAGCACACAGCTTCTACTGTAGTTTGCATATTTCGTGCAGAGTTTCGCATGCACATAGGCGCATGCATACATGCATGCGTATGTGCATCTGTATGTAGCACATGTATATGCATACATGCATGCATGCACAGACACATATCCATCTACATATCTACATCCATATCTATACCTGTACCTATATCTGTACCTATCTAATATTTTCAGACATGTACATAACTATATCTGTGTCTCTCTCTTCTTCCAGATGCATACCCATGTCCATATGCACATCCAGAGCCGTATCAGTATCTGTCTCTCTATCTTGTCTTTATCTATATCTGTATCTATATCTAGTTGGATGAATGGACGGGTAGATAGACATAGGCGAATCGGTAGGAAATTGCGCAGAGAGGCAATCGATTTGGCAGACAGGTACGTAGCTAGATTGAACTCGCTCGCCCTCTCTCTCTCCTTCTGTTCGTCTCTCTCTGTCTATGTATGCAGCTGTTCATTTTCCGTAAGTGTACCAAAGGTTCGATATTTCACCCAGTAAACGGCCTGAACTGCTTGATCTGGGATACACAACACAGCAGCACACAAATGCGATTGTGCTACCATGGGCTTCTCTTCCGGAGTCGATGCATTGCCTGCAATTCCTGGCCGTTCTTCGCAGCATTGGTTGAGGGTGGTGGCTGTCAGGGACCAGGCTCAGAAATTCCACCCTTGTGCCACGTGAGCCGAAGCAAACCATGACGCTTCTACCATTGTGCCAGTCTTGCAACGGATATAGTGTTATCGTCGGCACATGTGGCTGTTACCGTAACGTTGAAACAGTTTCTGCTGTGACGCTTCTTTTCGGACCAGACGCAATGGTCGCAGTTGGATGCTGTTGCGTTGAAGAGGGTGCAAGCATGCAGGATGGTTTCTCGCAGACATGCTGTTGGCCGTGACTGGTGTGCTTCGCAGGAGTACTTCAGCTGAAGCATGGCAGGACGGTCGCAGGGATCTCACTTGTGCATGGCAACACGACACCATGAGTGAAGCATTAGTGAACTTTAGGGCAAACTGTGTGGACTAAGGCCGGATTCCGTGACTCGTTCCTTGAGTGCATGTGGGCTACGCTGGGGGCACAGACGAGAGACTCATGAAGCACATATTAACTGAATATCGCCCATTGATCATAGTTGCAGGCACCCAGGATGCGAGAAGACCTAGCTCAAAGACGCTGAAGGTGGCCTGGCGTTTGACAATAGCTGACACACAGGGGCAACTCCCGCAAAGATGCAGGACTTCCCTTTTGCTTTGAGCTCTACCCTGATGGAGCAAAGGGGTCCCAGCCCCCAAGGACGCACTTGCTGGCTGATGCAGGATGTCAACCCGTTCAAACGTTTGCTTCAGCGAGTAGGTCAATTCCTGCAGACATGTCTTGCCGGTCGTGCTTGGTAGATGGCGGCTGAGCTTGACAATGCCGCATAAGTCTAACTCAGGCTTCAGTCGATACAGGATTGATACAGGATGATCAGGGCAGATGCACGGAGCCGCCTTCTTTGAAGTGCGCTTGTCACCGGGCAACGACGACGACAACGGCGACCACATGACAACTGCGACCACAGTGGCACCAACGACAGACGAAGCGACACCAAACAAGACAATGCTCGCGACAAAGACGACTGGGAAACGACAACTTCAACGCTGCTTACATCACGAAGCTGCAGATATAGTTTCATGAGAATCCAAGGGACAATGCAGCGTGGATTGCTGTTGCTGTCTTCCGATACTGTACGTATCGGCCTGTAGTCAAAGAAGTGAAGTTATTGCGATAAGTGATAAGTGAGGCTACTTCCTAGTGATACTGATGGTGCCGAACCAGAGAATAAGCCCCGGGCGTGTAGTGAGAAGCCTTGGGGAAGGTGAGATGTGGGGTGAAACTTCCGCAATGGCAAACTCGGGGCAGTCGACAATGCCGTTCGTCTTCGTGGCTCCAGAGATGATAGACGGACGCTGTTATTGATGCACAAAGAAATGTGGCGAGGGCAGTTCCTCAAAGGGGCATCCCCTCTCTTGCGGGCACATGTTTGTGGCGTGGGCCGTAAGCGGCGACAGGAGCTAGCCACTTCAGCAGCTCCGCACCTCTCTTCGGAAGGCAAGGCGGGTGGACTCTTCTGGAGAGGCACGGAGTAAGAATAAGCCTCAGGCGCAGGACATCAGCGCCCTCATCCGGTCGCCCACGGACTGGAGGCGGGCGAAGTGTGCTGCAAGGGACACACGGAGTAGGGCCGCGCCGGGGTTCCCCTCCAAAAGGTGGCCCGCGGCGGCCCATGACCTCTTCGCTGCCGGTCGCAGGGAAGGATCGGGGAGATCGAAAGCACGAAGAAGACCGTGTTGCCTGGATGCCTTCAGCAGAGCGGAGCTCCGCTCCAGGATGGTCATCTCAGCTTTCCGACTTTGACTTCCACCTTGGCATTGCCATCAAAGGCCTGCGCTGCATCGGTTGTCGGCCAAGATGTGCTGGTGAGAGACCTCCATGGGACGCTGCCGCAAGTGTTTGTTCTTTCTCATCGAATGCATTGGGTTCGTGAGATGACTTCGCTCGAACTTCAGCACATGCATGCACAGCAAACCAGTGATTTAGCAGCTCGAGGTGTCATGGGTTTTACGCAGTTTTGCTGAAAGATGTCTCTCAGCGAAAAACACTTCCAGCCCAACAAGAGCCATGCGTCTCGCAGCGAACTTTGTAAACACACGGACAAGCTTGTGACATGGTCCGGTTTGCTGGTCATGTCGTTGAGCTTAGTCGCAGCATTCAGATATGCGGGCGTGCGCCTGCGGCTACTGCGAGGGAACATTGTATACTGGCAAGGGGACTGCATCGTAAACGCTGCGAACGTGCACCTGGAACCCAGTCGGCAACCGGACTACTGGCGCCACATTGGGCGCCGTGATGTGAATTCTGCGGTCCATGATCGCGCAGGAGCGATTGCTACTCTGGCTGTCTCTGCGAAGATGCTGGGAAGTGATTTGTGACATGATGGAAATTGTACGAAGGACCTTCGTTGGAGAAGGAGTGTCTCTCCTTGCCTCTGGTGGAGAGCGAAGCGTCAAGCGAGGATTGGGTTGCTTCTGCCCCTGGCCATGGAGGTAAGGTACGCTGCCCGCGTGGAGAGGCGCGACTGACGGGCGGCCACCGGCTCCAGTGCAAGCACCTGATTCATGCTGTTGGCCACTCAGCATGGGTCTCAGCAAAGGTTTTGGCCATGTAAATGTAGTGACGGGTGCATCATTTTGGGAGCTTCCTCTCCATTGCATCATAAGTCAAACGCGGCTTTCGAGGGACTGTGATCATAAGTTTTCTGCAACATGGCTTACATATACATCATACGCAACTCACTCGCAGGCAGCTCGTCTTGCTGTGTGTTGCTATTGCAGCTCGGAGCCGAACTTGCTTGTAATGCAAGGACCCGACTACGACACAGCAGTACGTTGTGCGGGGTCCGCGAAGGCAACCGCAGAAGCTCATGAGAAGGCAAAACAGCTGCTTGCAGACACGTACAGAAATGTTCTCGCTCTCGCAAACAAAGCGCCTGGCTCGCATTTCGCTGCCACTCCCTGAAGAAAATGCACCCCTGGACACACTGCGCGGTGTGCTTGGCCAAGGCATCTGCAAGATCGATTGCACTTCCTGCGATCTCTTGCGGTGTCAATGGCTTCGGTGGATATGATTCCTTGGACTGCGCGGCCAAGGCCAGAGCCCTTCAGCTGGTGACAAAATTCTTCACAGCGGGTGTGTGACGGGATGATGCTGTAGAGAAAGGATCAGCTTCTTTTTTTCGATCATCTTCGAAACACTTCTCTGCAGGAAGCTGGCCGACACAAACTTAGTTTGGACAAGCCGTCTCTGTGTTGCGATCGGTCTGTGCAAGGTGTCCATCCAAGCTTCCTTGGAGAACGTCGGGAACGTCCAGTCCATTGATCTTGAGCTGCACTTGTTGGATCCGTCAGGCTTGAAGAGGGTGCATGTGCGACGCTTGTTTGCTTCTGCTTGCTGTTCACTTCCCGGTCAAACATAAGCGTCCCAGCAAGAGGTTGTTAAACGCTTCATCATCTTCCTCAGGATTTCATTCTGTATGATGCGATCTGTTCGGAAGCTTGGGAGGAGGCGGCTTGCATCACATGCCACGAGGATAGCTGGATAGCGTGCCTAGTCTTTGTAGTCTCTGTGTGAAGCACAGCTTTTGAGACGAATCGACGAGGCTGCAGATGCTAATGAAGGCTTGCTGCGAGATGATGGCATGCAAAGCTGAAGATGCCAACAAGCTGAGAGCTCGCTGAGGGCAGTCGGCTTTCGACCTCCTGCACCGTGGGATCAGGCGAAACCGTTGCGGTTTCTAAATGATCCTTCAGCCGAGAAGAGCAGTTCGTGCAGGATGGGAAGCAAGTCGCAAGGTGTCTGACTGGTCCCGCGCCGTGGGTGGACTAGGAGATTGGCATCTCACAAGAACGCGGGGAAGCGCCAACAGCGGACTCAGGGTCTCTGCGAGGAGTCATGGAAACGAAGCTGGCATGGACGAGCTCGTCTTTTGTTTGAAGACTGATCAACACCATGTGGCCAGCAACTGTTTGACAGTTGATTCTTCGCTCGCCAGTGGCCATTACTTGCCCTGTATGGCCTGATGGGATGTCGTCACCGTCCGGATCGCCTGTGTCCAGCCGGTGCTTCGGCACACATTGATTCGGCATGGGAAAAAGGGAGTCCCTGCCATGTTGCGGTCATCGTGGCCCGTTGCTTGCGATCTCCTTCCTCGTATGGTCAGGCGCAGCAGCTGCTGAGACAGAGGAAGAAGATGGCCAAGCAAGAGGCCGAATCGTTATGAAGATTGCCCATGGCTGTTCTGGATTTAGGGTTTAGGGTTTAGGGTTGCGATACTTTAGCCCACACGGTCAAATGATTTTCTGTCAGTTTGTCTGTCACACCCCGCGCAGAGTCCACAACCATCCTTGCAACCCAGCCATGCTCCTGGAAGGGTCTGAAGCCTAGATGCTCTAAGCCCTCAAGCATCAAGGTAAAACCCTAAGCCGACAAAACTTCAGAAGCCTCCATAGCCGATCCCACCACCTAAGACCGAAGATCTGCAAGAAGCCAAAACCCTGACAAAACCAAGACCCTTATCATGTAAACCCGAGCCCCAGACCCTCCCCACAAATCCCGCGGTTGAGACCTTAAACCTCAACCCTACAGACTAGATCCTCGCTACCTCACTGCGTGCTGTAACGCCATTCAGGTCACATGCCATGTTGAGGAGGAAACCAAAAGAAGGATGGATGGACTCAATCCCAATTGTGGGAGAGCCGTCGTCGGCCTCGTGAAAGAAGGGCAAGAGTGGGTGATGCCAGGCGCCAGTTGGACCGGCTTCCCAGAAGGAGGCTCACGATGGCTTTAGGAGAGGCGGATGACAGCCGAGCTGCAGCAGACACCAAGGCCAAGGATCAGAACATATCGGAAGTCACCAGCTTCGGCCAAGCCACCGGAGTGAGAAGACGCGACGGATGCTCTGGGGAGCATGGACTCTCCCGGGCTAAGAATTTCAAGTAGGTCCCCAAATCGTCGCAGCTGACCACAGCAATGCTTCCGATAATATCAGATCCAGGTTGTTGAGATTCGAGAATTTCTCCAGCGGTCTTCTAGATTCATCGATTCGCGCTACAGCAACGGCCATGCTGGTCACATGCTAAGCACCTGCGTGGCACCTCCTGCATGTCTTCCAGTCCGCTATCCAGACTGTACTGCCTCCGCCACGAATTCACAGGATTTGCCTTGCACTCGAAATACATTTGGGCAGGTAAATGAGGTCATGAAGTTTGACGATGCTTTCGACATGGCCAAGATACGGGCGGTACAGCGTGGGAGCCCCTGCAAGCTCTGCCAGACAAAGTCTTTAGGCACATGGGCAATCCATGGTGCGTTTCATTACTGTATGGGCTCCTGCATGCCGGAAGTGCAAGGTACTGCAGCGGAGAGGAAGATGCTGAGCCAGCTGCTGCGAGCTTAAGGCTGCTTAAGCTCTGTGCGCCTTCTTCGATGTCACAGTTCTCTTGCAGATTATACCAAGGCCGATTCAGGTAGGGAACAGCGGATCTCCCATGTGCGTCAGAGAGCTGCTCGGACTGCTGCATCCTCAGATCCGAAAACGAGACGACACGGATTTACACGCGACTCAACGTCGCGCTTCTAAGGCGGAAGATCTCCAGCACGAGCCTCTTCAGCCGCCGGAAGTCCAACGACTCCCTGTGGGCCGCTGGCCCAGAGGGCCACAATCAAGCCATCTGCGTCGAAGCCCTTGCTCCCAGGGCTCTATGGTGCTGTCCAAGATCCCGGGCAGCAAGGAAGAAGCCGAGTCCGAGAAGATCATGGAGGCCGAAACTTTTCTTCTCATCTTTTCTAACACCCTTTGACTCGCGCTCCGAATCCGAACCTGCCAGGGTCGGCGAAAAAGTTCCATCAAGCAAAGTTTCAACTCTGCCGGTTACCCATGTTGGATGTTACAAGCTGAATCGTCCAAGCTCCTAATCATCCTGGTTGCTGCGGACGCTCGGCCTTGCCGAGTTTGGTGATGTGGTCGTTGCGGCACAAGCAGCAGTGCGACCCTCAGAATCGATCGTGTCGTCTTGATGGCGACTGATTGGGTGTGCAGCTGTAAGCTTCTGTTCTGGCGTGGACGCTGCTGGTGTGAAAATTGAATACAGGTGATGTGCATTGCTGTTGTTACTGCCGGGAAGTGTGAAGTGCTACTTTCCCAGGCTCGCAAAGATCTCCTGGACAGCTCGCCGCGATCTGTGAAAGGAGGCAGAGGGCAGAGGGAGGAGGAGGAACATTGCATCTGAATAGGAGCCCACTCCCACGCCTAAGGACGCAGTGAGATTGTGCAATCATGAACAGCCAGTGGCCTCATGAGCTACCGGTGCAGGCGAATCACGGCGGAACTCTCTGAGAAGAGGATCCATTGCTGAAGAAACTGTGGCCAGGCTTCTGCGCCGCAGTGTGGCTTGCCAGCAGTGTGATAGTGGTGGCACCAGCAGGACAAGCCGTAGTGTTGCGGATGCGTCTGTCCACATCAGGATGCTGCAGCGCAAAGCCAGTGCGAAGCACGGAGTCGCTCAGGCCTTCAACAACGCAGATTTGAAGGATCAGTTCGAGTTGAAGGAGATCTTAGATCCGCCGGTGATTCCGGCACGTTCGCGTGTCTATGGTCCGTGTTGAGCATGGTTTTGCCTGCAAGCACGGGTAGTACTTCATTAGCAGAGGCTCCCGCCGAGATGTACACCCGCTTCAAGGCCTTGGAGCAGCATGCTCCTCCACTCTGCTTCCTATACCCTCCAGCTTTGCCAGACCACGGCACCGATTGGCACGTGAGGAGTAAAGAGAGAAACATCAAAAACAAGGCACAACCTGTTTTATCCATCCTCGAACTTCGGCACTGGCTTTGAGCATCGCGAGACTTACAACTTCAAGCTTTGAGTTGTATGAAGTCAGACAGACGGAACCCGTTTGACTCTTGCTTCGGATGCTGCAAGCTTAAAGCTGACAGCAAGGTTGTTGCAGTTCAGGCACGCATCATGACATGTCATGGCATTTCATAGCCTTCACTTCGTGGCTTAATTCAAGGAGACGGGGTCAAGGCACGCACTGCGAAACGCTTTTGATGTCTCCGCAGGTGGAGGACATCTCCAGCTTTCCAGCATCCGAGCAGGACGGGGTCGTGCCACACAGCAGACCAGTATTGTGCTCTTAGTCGGTCCCCGCATTGTCATCACATGAGGAGCGAATCAGGGAGGCCTTCTATCGCTTCAAGAGTATTGGTAGTCCCTGCGATGCATCCGGAAAGACTGATGACCGAGTGCAAGGGCTTCTTAAATCCCTTTCCCGGAGTCCACTGTGAGTTGGACGTGATGAGCATCGAATTTCTTTGCCGCTCAGGTTCGGACATTGATGCAGGGCTCTCAGTCTTCCACTTCTCGGGGCCGTCGGTGGTTTTTCAATTGGCTGAAGAAACGCTGGCATGCTATCGTCTGGGGCTGGGGTTGTGTCTGGGGCCACGTCGGATTTGCCAAAATTTCGGATGTTTGGGCCACGGATTCCCTCTAGGCCGCATGCTAAGCGGACGCTTCTGTTACGCAGACATTGAACTGAGCAGGCCAACACCCGTTCTTCATTTCTGCAGATCCGTCGACCGATCCAAACGTGCTTCCATTGCTTTTGCAGCTTTGGTCATTTCGACATCGTCGACAAAGCAGATGGTTGATGTCGCAATTGAGTCTGCTTGAGGTTTCGGTCGTGGTACATCTGCAACATCTTGACGATCTCGCATGTTGTGCTTCGCGGAATCGTCTCGTATCGGCTCGCTTATGCCGCACAGAGGTCGACGACCTTGAAAAGGCGTTGATTCATCTGGGTTACCTCAAAATTGATGCCCAGGCCGGAGTCTTTCGTGTAGCCGAGCATGACCCACGGTGCCGTACCGTATGTGGTTTCCTCCTGCGCACCGCCGGCCACCTGCGTCGCTCAAACTGGCTTAGGCAGTGCTCCCTCTGGAGACATGCGTGCTAGAGGAAATATCCAAGAATATCCCTGACTTTAGCTGCCTCTGAATGTTTGGAAATCATACCCGCGATGCATGCAGCGACTTTAGTCGTCTCGACACGTTGGAAGTGCCGCACGGAGTCAAAGGGTTAGCCTAAGTGCGTGGCTTTGTAGTCGAGGCCGAGCTTTTTCACAGGAATGGTTCGGTAGCAGCCTATGGACTGTGACCCGCATGGCGGCGTTCGACCGGGTACTGCTATCCCTTTTCAGCATCTCAGCTGAAGGACTTTGGAATTTCGTACCAGAGGATCACTTGCATAGGGACCTGCTGGTAGCTGCCATGTGTGTCAACCGAGGCGGTGGTGGATTGTGCGGCTGTTGCAAGCCAGAGACGTCAAATTCAGTGGCCATGGACCGTTGGTTCCGTGATATTGCACGGCGGTGTCATGCTGATATCGTGCTAGGCTTGAGTTGGGCATGGTCTTGGATACAACTCATGCGGGTATGATGTGGCAGGACATTCTGCAGCTCAAATCCTACCAAGACGAGTGGGATCGGACTCAACGCGCCATAGAACTGGCCAAGCGCGAGCAGGTAGCCAAGGAGGCTGGGCGTCTTTAAGAATCGAAGGGAAGCCGACAGAGGAGTTTCGGAAGATTAGGGGTACCTTATCTTGGGATCCTTACAACAAGGATCCTACTATTTAGGGTGCTAGTCTAGGGTCCCCTATTGTCGGAAACTCCTACAGAGGCCGTTGGCCCTAAACCCCTCCGTGTGTTGGTACCAGGCTGAAATCCGTCAGAAGGCGGCGAGCCGAGCCGCGGAGCTCCTGGCTGAGCGAGGCGACCTGGAGGCGGAGGGAAACATCCGTAAAAGTGCCGGGGGAGGGGGGGAGGGGGGGTTTAGCTGTAACATTGGAGGAGTCGGAGCAAATCTGTTCTACATACTAGCACCAAGAACAAAGAAAGGAGCAAGCAGGGCGAAGGCAATGATCGCTGTATGCTTACGAGTCGCTCGTAGTCGTGGTTGGAGTGGCTCTAGCTATGGCAGCAACAAGCGCGTGATTGTCATGATGCTGATGATCATGATGTCATTCACACGATGCCGGTAATTTTTTTTTATGTCGGTAGTGACCCTTGCAGCTGAAACAGTTGCGGCCGCGACGTTGTCCGGAGTTACCCATTAGAGATGGAGGGTGGGGTTCTGCTTCTGCTGTGCAGCACAGACTCTGCGTGCTTGATGGTCGAGGCTTGTAGGGTGCTATTCCGCCAGGAAGTCAAGTCAGAGCCCGTCATTACGATGAATTTGTTCGGGCCTGACGCATTTTCGCTGTCTATCCCGCGAGCCTTGAAATTCTTCATGTCAACTCACCATCTTTTTGTTTCTTCCTTACTCAGGTAGTTGCTCCCGGCAAGGTGACGGGGGTGAATCATAGCGATCTCGCAGTTAGCGTACCGCAGCTGCAAGTCTTCGAACTTGGAGGCTGCGCTGTGACCGCAGAATGGCTTCATGGAAATGCTACCCAAATGCTTAGCTGGAGTGCAGCACGCCTGTCGACAGGCTTGAGTCATTGCTTAGAACTGTCGGTTTCAAGGCTTGTATCGGCATTCTGCAGAAATGTGTCCGATTTTTTCCATCACGCTAGGAAGGCTTCCTTGTAGTAGCCGAAAAAGCATCTTTGGCACCCGTCTTGCGAGGGCATTCTCGTGCAGGCCTGCTGTTCAGCGGATGTTTAGTGGTTGTGCAGTATTTATCCGTGTGGTGCCAACTTCGAAGGTTTCACTCTTCAGCGAATGCAGCTTGCAGCCAACCTGCCAGAAGTACTCCTACAGCTTCATGACATGGTGCTGAGTACTGACAGCTGTTGAAGTTTTCTCGTTCTTACAAGGTCGGTGGGCCGTTCGCTTCGCGAACTAGCTGCTATGCAAATGCACCGGAATCATTCATTCCTAGCTCGCGCTAGGCACGTCTCACCCCTTTGAGGCTGACAAATGTGGCCGTCCGCGACATGTGATAGATTGTCAGGGTACTTCAACGTGATGTTTCAGGGATCCCAGCGATTTCCATCCTGAGTGTGTATGTGTGTACGAGGTTGTTCTTCCTTGGTAAGTGCAAAAGGCCCGTGCTTGGAATGCAGATAAAAGTGCGCCATGGCTGAGTCTGCAAGCTCCGTCACCGCTTGAAGGAGCGCTGTCTCATGCAACAGCGGAGCAGGTAATCATGGAAATCACCCAGAAGCTGACAAAGTTTGCTACCCTCGACTACGAGGATCGGGCTCTTAGGATGCCTCCGGTCTGAGGGTCTCGGCTGCTGCTCATGGAGATGTCCTGGACCAGGAGTACCTCCGCTTCGTGGGGCAGTATACATCTTTTGAGCGGGCCGAGGCAACAGGATTTCTTCTCAAAGACGATACTTGTAGCATGCAAGAGTGTCTTCGCACCTCGTCAGGTTCAGCGAGTTTTCCGAGAGTTTGACGAAGATGGATCGGGCTCTTTGGATACAGAAGAGATCGAGGCTCCCGTACTTGTTTTCTTGCTTCCTGGAGTGACAGACACCCCACGAGTTGCTTACTGTCAGTACTGAATCGTGCAGGGTGTCATGCGCTCCTTCAGCATCACGCCCTTCAAAGCCACGGTCGTCTTGACCTCGGGTGGGTGCACTGAAGCGAGACAAGGCTTACCGTTGGTGAGTGGCTTCTCGTGATCTGTTCACGTACTCCAGGAAGCTGCCATTGCTGTGGTCGACGAGGTGTTGTGCAACTGCTCTCCCACTTGTACTTTATTGTGGGGTCCATATAATAAGGATCGTACTGTTTAGGGTACGATATCAGGGTCCCCCTATTTTCGAAAACTCCCGTATCTGGCCTTTCGGCATGCAGCCGAAGCTTCCAGGACCACACTGGCACAGTTGAGTTCCACGAGTTCGTCCATCTGCTCACGGCCGAACCCTCAATGGCTTTCCACTGTGCACCTTTCAATGGCCGGCGGCTGAAATCGTGAGAGTCTAGCCACTGTTGAGGTCTACAAGAAGACGGAAGGCTTCTCACAAGCAGAGGCAGACAACAGTCTTGTGCGGTGTTGGGGTTATCGCTCAGATGTATCAGATCTTGAAGTTGTTTAAGGTCAAAGATCTGTATGCCGTCTTCTACAAATTCGCGGTCCCCGTCTCGGACTCCAAGCTTCGCGAGGCCCTGCTTTCATGTCCATTGCTTCATTGTTTCTGCCAGTGCAAGCTTGGGCTGCTCGCATGTTGCGCATCCTTCCTCTTCTTCCTTCTTGCTATTCGGATCGATTTCCGAAGGTGCCGGAATCCGAGATGCGGAATGCACTGATGAACTTGCTCGGCACTTGACATCTCTGTAGCGCCACATGTGAAATCTGCAGAGTAGGCTGCCCAGAGATGCGTGTTGGCCTTAGTTCGGGTGGATCTCGTGTGAGGTTTGGCCCCCAGACGCTTAGCGTGGGAGTGAAGCTGGTGAACGAGGACCCCACGATACCCTGCCACCTGATTGAGATGCAAATGACACTGGAGAGGAGATGCAAATTGAGCTGCAGATTTGTTTTGCTTGTAACTGCTGGTGCAGTAGACTGTCAGAGGGACCCACTGTCAGCTAGGCAGCTAGACACTGCTTGTGCGGGCAGGTCCTGGTGAAGATACAAAAGAAGAAGGAAGAAAAGGCACCTTGAGCAGAGTCGGATCTTGCGTCTGCGTAACGAGTCTGTGGCCTAGGCACCGTAGAATCCAGTGAAAGCCTCGCACACGGCAGGCCGCCAAGCGAGCTCTGTCTCGGCAGCAAGGAGGTCCGGAGCAACTCAGATGAAATTAAAATTGAAAATTGTGATAATCCCAGCAAAAACAACAATCGTGACAATAAGAACAATGATGATAACCATGGTAATGTTAATACACATGCAACCGAGGCAGGGGATGAAGTTCCGCGAGTTCTTGGAGCTGCCCTCAGCTGGGAGTCCCCTGACATTTCCGGCCCATGCCACCTTGAAACGTTCGAAAAGGGAGAGAGGGCTCCATAAGGCTACAAGGGTACTGAAAGGCACATGGTGTGCTGATGAGGTGTGGGCGAGATGTCTCAGAGAGGCTGAGATCACCGCGTGCCGCCGTTTTTCTGAGAGCTATCCCACAACGGTGCCTCAGTCCGGAGCTTTGCTCAGGTACAGGCGCAAGTTCGACAAGGTGGACTATACAAAATCAGGCGGCAGAACTGCTGCTGCAATCCGCTCTCGTAGTACTCACCACGTCCTGTCTCTTAGGTTGCCAACACTTGTTATTGGCAGGCCTCCTGATGCAGGAGAACCTGAAAGCCAGCATCCAAGTGCCGAGTGCGGTTGGTCAGTTAGCGGCCACACAACCACAGCAGGGTTGTTGCCCAAGGAACACACCTCAGGATGCACCCACACAGAGTCGTCCTTGTCGCTGGTTGGGCCCGTAGGTTGGCTTTTTCATAAGCCTCGCTTACCGCCATGTGCTCATGTTCTAACTGCCCGCCCAGCGCAAGGCCATGGTGTCAGACAGTGCAAGCGTGAATTCGCAGTACCTTTCATGATGCGATTCTGTCCGCTAGATCGCCGGTGACAATCCAGGTCACGTTCGACGTCCGTAGTCAAGCACACTGTTGTCTCCCGGTGATGTTTTGGCAACCCAACCTGAGCATGTGCATAGGTCGTTACATCATCGATCGTCGTGCTTCGTGCTGTGTTGATGTGAAGTTTCCATGTCCCGCGATCGCTTCTTCCGCGCCAAGGAGGCTTTTCATCACATTGGCTACACTGCCTTGCGCGGCTCCCGGTGAGTTCGTAGCCCATCACTATCGAATCCAGAAGCGCAGCTAAGCCATTCCGATCCAGACTCCCGACGTCAGAGGCAGCTTTCAGCGTAAGACTCGGAATTCTGTGGAGGCGGCCAGAGGTAGAGGACCTCCTGGAGCGCCGAAAAGTGTCCAAGGACTGTGCTCAGTGCCACCCACGTCCATTCATAGGGATCGCTGCTTTTCGGAGGGTGAGCAATATGTTTTCAGAGACGTCTTGAATGCAAGTTTTTGGTACCAGCACGTGATGGCCCCGAGGCCTGTCGCTGAATGCTGCCTCAACGCGACACGATATTATTCGAGACTGCTGTTGTTGCTGCTCCTGCTGCGCTGGTGTCACACTTGGCAAGACAAATCTCGATTGCTGCACAGGATGACATGATCGATTTCGAATGTTTTGTCAACCTTGTTCAAGATTTCTGCCGCACAGACTCTTGGCATGTGCCAGAGAGGTCATCTAGATGCAGTCATCTTGGAAGGCTACACGCCGCCTCGGATAGATTTAATTATTAACACAAGCCAAGGATGGGTTCAGCCGTCGCGATGTCGTGACAACCTGAGTGCTTGAACCGCCACGAAAATTTAGAGCCTGACCGATGCAGCGACAAGTGCAGTCACTCAGGACGAGTTTTTCGAGGTGTTCCGTGCTTTCGACACCGAAGGTGTCTGACCCAGGCAAAGTACGAAGGTCTGCTGGGCACACTCCGCACAAACAGCCCTTTGTCATAGCTTGGCTGGGGGTGAAGCCGGTGAGGGGCCCTCACTGAGGCTCCGGCGAAGTTGGTGTCCTGGAGGTCGCCTCCATGCTGCGCTGGCTGGGCTTCAGCATAGAGCCCGGGCCCCCAGATGGAAATCAGAGCGGAGCGGTTTCTTCTTCGGTGCGGGGCCTCGTCGTGGCAAGGTTGGACGTGGCCAACAGCTACTTCCAGGTGCCAGCAGTGCCAGCTTTCCGAGCACCAGCGTTGTTCCGGACTCTGTCTGTGTAGCTGTTTCTGTTGCATCCATGTCTGACTTGAAGATAAATGCCAGTCCGTGAACTTGGATGGTGCAGACCGGATGGGCTTCGCGGAGTATGTGACTCAGATTTTTGCGTTTCGGTCTGACGTCTTCGGGTTTGCAGTCGGCGCCTGCTTGAGGGCTGGCCTGGTGATCGTAGCCTGTTCCAGCGGGCCTGCTCCTGCGCAGCTGCGTGTAGGATAGGAGAGTAGTGCAGCATCTTGCCATCCGGAGTGGCCGGAAAGGAATTACTCGTACTTCGTGGAAGATTGATCATCATCAGTGGGATACGGTGCAAATTTCAGTTTTGGACTCGTCCTGAGTCAGACTCGCACAGAAGTGAGGTGCAACAGATCGTGAACAGAAGTTTTTGACAGATGTCTATGAGTGCTTCAATGATTCGCGTTTAGGATTCTCGAATGTGCGCGAACGTATGTGAGAAATGTCGTAGAGGGGTCTGCAGAAGCATCGGACAGAGGTGCCGTCACAAGCTGTACGTAGGCGCCTGGTATGGTCGTTCAAGCTTAGGGTAACCCGTCAAAAGCTCATGCCACTATAGTCTGTGTCAAGACCAGCGAACGCAGCGGCCATGCATGTCTTCTGTAGCTTTGCGCTTCCCCTCCCGGTTGATAGCCACAGGTTTCTACGTCTGATGCGGCCTGGGACCGAACGGCATCCCTTGCTCTGATTCCGAGCATACCTTCTCTTCGCCCTTAGGTTGCACCGCGATGATTGCCTCGGCCACATGCAGGAGGCGCCTCAGTTGTAGGTTCAGTGTGGTTTTGCTTCAGAGCTGTAGCCTGGAGTGCAGGTCTTCGACCGCAACTGCGAACAGGAACTTGTGCTGAAGCAGGACTGTTTGAAGCCGGAAGCTGAGAGAATGCCCAAGTGAGGCTCTGTGCTGGGGTGCTTAAGTTGGCAAACGTATCGGATGCACTTTACCAAGGCAGGTGCTTACGCAAATGGATCGGCGCGTCAGCGTCAACGTGATAAGCCAGTGCTTGCAAGGCCAGGTGGCCAAAGCTCGGTTATCCCGCGAGATGCTGAAGCGTATGCTACTGTGCAATACCGGCCGTTTCACCCATGTCCGTAACTTGCTGCTGGTGTTACTACTGATGCTCTTTCTTGACACCACTGCATTCTTTGTTGTTGTCAACATGGAATCTTCATCATCGTCATAATCATCCTCATCATCGTTATCGTCATCATCTTCATCGTCATCAACAACATCATCATCACCACGGTCATCATCATCAGCATCATGACCACCATCATCTTTGGAGTCACTCGTATCGGAATGTGCGACGAGGCGTCAGGGACGCACGTTACATCGATTTCGTGCAGAGCTAAGCGACGGTGTGCCCTCATCAACCACAGTCCATAACGACATGTCACAATCTTCGAGCTTCGGCCCAGGATGACTTCGTGCAGGTGACTGACAATATGCGGCGGCATATCCTGAGCCAGATGCGGAAGCAGGCCGTGCACTCTGTCGTTCTGCTGCCACGAGCTTCATACAAGCGGTGCCTGTCCAGGCGGGCTTCACAGATGACGAGGCCTGGCTAACATGTCGCCAACATCGTGGGTAAGCCTGTCCAGCTTCATGTCACTGTTTTGCTATTGAACATAGTTGCTCGCACAGCAGGTGCGAACCTTCCAGCAGGCCTTCGAGAAGCGGGGGACGAAGTGGCATTCAGGAATAGCTAGAACTAGAAAGCATAGACCGGCTTTTCTACTGTACTTCCCTCCATCAAGCGTGGACCACGCGTCAGTCGGCGTCTTTAGCCAGAGACAGATGAGATCGCTTGCAAAAGCTCCAATCGCTCTGAGCGTAGAGCAGCAGCAACATCCGTGCAACCTATGCTGTATCTTCAAAGAAGGGTCAGTGCCGGGTGAGACTGCTTTTGACGCCCTTTGCCGACCCTTCTTGCCTTAGCGTTTAATGGCGATACAAGCGCAGGCCCCGATTCAAGCACCGGCAACGCGCGCTTCGAGAACCCACGCTTCGAGCACCAAGCCAGATTCAATCATGCACGATTCGCGCACGCTCGATTCGATACAGCCGTCGGCGTTTTAGAGTAGGGTAAGTTGTACGGTGTGAAGTTTGCGGGTTTCCGTGTTTGCGTGTAGGGTGTAGGGTTTAGGATGTTGGGAATCACGGCTTCAGGATTTCAGGGTTTATGGTTCAGGGCTTCAAGATTTTAGGGTTTCAGGTTTAGGCCGAGGCTGTAGGGGTTTCGGGTTTTCGGGTTTAGGGTTGCGCTTGCTTGCTGGGATGTTCGGCATGCCAACTAAGGCCCCAATCTCCAAACATCAAGCGTCAAGACGGAAAGCTAGGAAGCAGGAGTTGGGAAACAGAGACGGTTGAGTCAGGAACTTGGAACAGGAAGGGCCGGAGTGGGGTTGAGCACCTGCGGTAGTTTGTATATTTTGCAATCACGGTCGGACCTGGTCTTTGGGGAGGGCAACAGCCCCGAATCCATCGTGCGCGAATCCGTCGGCACGCGAATCTGCACCGTCAGAGAGCGAATCCATCAAGTCGGGCGCTGTCACTGCTCGTACGCGAAACCGCCGCCCCTTTGCGCAAATCCGTCTTCCAACGCACGAATTTCCAACGCACGAATCGGCTTTTTCAAGAGTAGTATATCAGTTTTCGAACCGGCCCGTTGCCTAACCTTATGCCGAGGTATGATACCGATGGAAATCGGAAGCTGACGCGGGACGAGATGCCACCTCTTCTGGCGGACTTAAAGATTGATCTTCGCACGGCCTTGGACTCGGAGCCTCCGCTTTCCCGACTCAGATGCCGTCTTCGCCCACCATATGTATAGTGAACAATCAAAAAAGAAGAATACTAAGACAAATCATAAACATTTCAATAATAGTCATAATCATAAAGATAATAAGCATTGCGCTAAGCTTTTTTTTTTTCGCTGTCGCCGCTCGGATGGTCAGCAAAATCAGGTGGACGATCAGAGGCACTTCGTTCGCCCTTTTCTCAGCATGGTGCTGAACGGGCCGTATGCGACGAGTGAGTAGCAGTGGCGGTAGTAACCAACAAGTAGGAGAAGCAATAAGTGTGGTAGTAGTAGTATTAGTAGTAGTATCAGTAGTAGTAAACGTAGTAGTAGTAGCGGTAGTAGCAGTAGTAGTAGTAGTAGTAGTAGTAGTAGTAGTAGTAGTAGTAGTAGTAGCCGCCACGAGTGATCAAGCGGCCGCGCAGTTGAGAGGCTTTCGAACAGGCTTGGGGCGCAACTTCTGTACTAGAGGTCCCGACCAGGCTCCTTTTCCGAACAGTAAGGGTTTGTGCCTACTCCGAGCCATGTGCCTCTCCGTTTTGCTACAGGTGCCGCTTTGATCCGCCAGGTCCCAATTCCTGGGCCCAGACTGTGTTTCATTCAAACATTGCATCACTGGGTAGGCGGTAGGGTTTCCACTTCCGCGCAGGGAGTCATTAGGCCTCGGTCTCTTGATGAAAGCAGCGGACGGCGCTGATGCTTACAGCGCACTCACACAATTTTTCCTATATCAGAAAGAACGACATGACACTTGTCTGCCGACTGGGAGCTCTAGCACAGCGAAGCCGGAAAGAAGCGACGCAGTCGCGGAAAGACAGTTTAAGGCACAGCCTCACAACTCGGCATATGGCACAGCCTCCCGCCGCGCTGGACAGCAAAGACGCAAATGTCGGGCTCCTTTCGTGGAACGCTGGGTGGCTAAACAGGTACCAAAGCGCGACTTGCTGGTCAGCGCTGGAGTTCTCAACCCTTCGGTGGCTTCCCCTCTGGTACGGCTCTACGTGCGACACCCGAGTTTCGCCTGAGCCCAAGTCTGGAGCTAGGTGCTTTGCGCCGACCTACACGGCAGGAGGAAGCGACACAGTCGCGGGGAGTCAGTTTGACCCAGCACTTTGGTACGGCTCCACGTCACATCTGGGTACAGTCGCAAAGCGGACGCACTTGCTGTGCCAAGGGTGGCGGGCTTCGGCTACGGCCCTCCCAGTTGTGTTCGTTACTGTCCTGTTACTGACGAGGTCAGGCAGTGCTAGGAGTGACGGCTTATGTGCTTTGGTCAACGAGCAGCCTTCCTTACGGCCCATCGCTGGCAGTCCGGAGTTACCTAGTGTGGGACGCCACTAGACGGGAACTTTGGGAGACGGCTCTTCTGAGTACGACCCACTGGCTGCCAGTTCGTGAGTATTGGACGCAATGACTCACACTGAGGGTGACGGAGGTTGCAAAGACAGTCAAGTGAATTGTCCAGTGAAGCAACTGCTCAAGCCATAGGCAGCTTTTTTCCATAGGGGCTGATTGGCCTTGGAAATCAGGATTCGTTCTCTATCCTTGCTTTTAGCGGTTTCTGTGTTTCGTTTTGCTTCACGGTTGGTGGCTAGCGCGAGGCCTCGGAGCAAAACGTGCCACTGGCCTTGTTCCAAAAACGGATGAAGGAGGTGCCTGCGATATTCGCATGGGCAGTCCCCTCGTGCCGCCTGCCACAGCCTGTGTTCATGATCGTGTCGGATTTCAGGCCGCTTAGCCTCTATTGAAGGCCGGCTGCCCGGCCGCAAGCACAGCCTCAAAAGCGTGCTGAGGAGCAGCTTTTCACTTTTTCTGGAACACCGGTGAAGCCGACATCCGCCTTAAGGGTGGGTGCTGGCCCAAAATTAGCGGGCAAGAATTCAGACCATGGGTGCTTGTGCGTGGGAAGGCCGGACCCCACAACAGGTGGGCATGGCCCGCCCCGCGTCAAGGCCAAGAGTGCCTTGAGCACTCGCAGGCTCTCCACAGGCTTTAGGCTCAGGCTCATTTCGGATTGGCTTTGCTCTTCCTTGTTTTGGTTTATGCTGACGGTATGGGTTCCTTTTTGCGCTTGCCATTCAGAATCGAGCCGAAGTCGGTTTTAACCCATTAGTGAGTGCCAAAGCGGTAAGCGCCCGCAAAACGCAGAGCACGCTCGCACAGCGTTCAATTGAAAATAGTAGTAGTAGTAGAAGTAGTAGTAGTAGTAGCAGCAGTTGCAGTAGTAGTAGTAGTAGTAGTAGTAGTAGTAGTAGTAGTAGCAGTAGCAGTAGCAGTAGTAGTAGTAGTAGTAGTAGTAGTAGTAGTAGTAGTAGTAGTAGTAGTAGTACTAGTACTAGTACTAGTACTAGTACTAGTACTAGTACTAGTACTAGTACTAGTACTAGTACTAGTACTAGTAGTAGTACTACTACTAGTAGTCGTAGTAGTCGTAGTGGTAGTGGTCGCGGTGGGGTAGTGGTCGTGGTCGTAATACTAGCAGCGGTAGTAGCAGCAGCAGGAGGAGGAGGAGTGGGAGTGGGAGTGGGAGTGGGAGTGGGAGTGGGAGGTTGAGTAGGAGTAGTAGTGGTAGTAGTGGTGGTGGTAGTAGTAGAAGCAGTAGTAGTAGTCGTTGTAGTAGCAGCAGTAGTAGCAGTAGCAGTAGCAGTAGCAGTGGCAGCAGCAGCAGCAGTAGCAGTAGCAGTAGCAGTAGCAGTAGCAGTAGCACTAGCACTAGCAGTAGCAGTAGCAGTAGCAGTAGCAGTAGCAGTAGCAGTAGCAGTAGCAGCGGGAGTAGGAGTAGGAATAGGAGTGGGAGTCGGGTGGCTGTGGCAGTGGCAGCAGGAGCAGCATTTCATGCGTCTCAGTGCAAGGCGTGCTTGAAGACGCTCGCCTTTCTGCCCGCCGAGGAGGCGCAAGTGAGGCGAGCCGAAATGCATGATTTTTACACTGGCTTGGTCGTAAATGTTTCGTGTCGTGCGCTCGGGCTGTGGGAAGACGCCGTTAAAAGGGATCGTTGCATGTTGGGACGCGATGTACGCACAATGCATGTACTTTGCCAGATTTGGAATCTCCTTGCCAGGAAGAGGTGGGGGTTCCTGGTGCTCCCGGCATCACTTTCTGGAATTTCGCCTGACGCCCGGAGGGGACCTGGTTGATTAGCAGTTGACTCCACGCACACGTCACATGCGCAGCTGACTGAGAAGTTTGGGCCGGAAGGTACACTTCCTGCGCGTCCTCCAGACAGAAGAAGACATCAAGACGGCCAGATGGCTCAATTGGTTGGCATTGTTTGTGTTATTGTGTGCTTTGACTTCGGCTTCAGCAAGAACAATCACCACAACTGCCAGGTACAAAGCCAGGCAATGTTGCACCTCTTTTCTGAGAAAGAGCAGGATGAGCTTCGTGCCGTTGCAGCCTAAGTGTCGGGGAAAACGGCATGTTACATGTTACGGTGGACCGGCATTCTCGCATCACCCAGGTCTTCAATACGTGGTGCACGCTTTCCACAGATGTCTTGCTCTAAGTCATGGGGGTCAAGCTGATCATGTTTCACACGCATTTTTCTGTAATGCAGCCAAGTGAAGGGAAATGGTGTGCAGCGGCATGGCAGACCGGCAATCCTTTCATGGGCGATTTCCGCAGAGCCAAGGCTCACTCAAATGCAGAGGCGGACTCGGACATCGAAGGCATCACCGAACCCAGCGCGGGGCCGACGGAGGGCATCCAAAGCTCAGCAGCTCCCCCGCTTCGCATCGCTTCAGGCTTGGAGAGGAGCCCATCAGAAGCAGTTGCGCAGTCGGCTCACGCCCCAGGCTGCAACAAAGAGGCATGTGTCGATACGGTGGGCTTTCGGAAGTCCGGTAAGGGTTGAGGGTTTTTTTGGAAAGTTGAGGGTCCTTCTTGAAGAGAGCTGTTGAAGCCTCGCTGTGGTGACTGAGGAGCTGAAGCTCCCCTTCAAGCGTCTCTGGAAGCTCCTGCGCCAGTTCCCCAGTGAAAGAGATAGATTCACCGCTTCAAGGTTCAGAGACACGGACATCACCTAAGGTGAGCTCGGCGTGCCCCTGACGCCAACCCACTTGAAGCTGCTTAAGGTGGATAGTCCTCTGTAGCTGGTATTGCGCTGCCAGTTCTAGTAGCATTCGACATGCAGCTCAAGCCTCGTTGGATTTGCAGGCCAGAGCAGCACTTGATGCAGAAAACGCTTTGCCTGCCGCATCCTAAGCTTCTTTCAACAAGTGTGAGTCCAGTTCTCAGCGATTGGTGTGAGTCGCGAACACTCTTGCATCGCATGGCACGATCGAAGGGCTGGGACGGTGAGTTTAATCCATGTCCTTGCATGGGTGGCTCTCGTGCAGGAAGCACACCTCACTCTCAACTTGCAGGCTGCAACCCTGCGCTGCCTCCAGGTCGAGCAGCGTGGAAGCTACATCGATTCCAGCGGGTTTTTGCGGCTTCTGTCCTGGATGCTGGACCCGGCCACAGCTGTGAGCGTCTGCGCGTGGACTGCCTGACATAGTCTAGAGCTGTGATGAACCTCTAGTGCGTGGCCCCCAGCCGATGCGCAGCCGGCAATACAAAGAATTGCGTACGGCCTCTCATGTCGTTGACGCTGGCGTGGGCTTGCACGACTCGTGAGCTTTCTGAATGCATGCTTCAGGACACCGACTTCGCCGGCATCCGAGAAAGATCTGAAGAACTAGCAGAGAACCCATATCCGGAAGAAGGCTGATGGAGGCAGGTGCTGCAATGCGTCTGCGAAAGGAGTGGGGTTCCCCAGCTCTGTGTTGCGATAACGCAAGATCGGCAAGTTTCATCCGACACATCGCCTGGAGAAGAGCAGGGACACCCCTGAAGTTGCGTCGTCTGTCATGAAGCAGCTCGACCAAAGGAATGTCGGGCAATCACCTTTGATACAAAGTGATTGGCAATCGATCTTGGCTTCGTCTCAAGCGTGAGCGGAGCCGGTCCAGGCCTTGTCGTGTGTAGTTCTAGGGGCCTTGGCCAGCTGAGAATTCAATTCGGAGTTCCACAGAGAGTTGGAACAGGCAGCAAACTCGGATCAGCTGCTTGGCTTGCGAAGCAAGTCCAACTTTGCGCGGCTTGAGTTTGACGACTTCCACTGGTGGACTCGAGCTATCTAGCTTCACGTGCCACTTCCTACCTCCTAGGTTATTCTCGATGTCGACTTTTCTCAAACTTTCGGGTCTGCATTTGGATGGCTTTTCCTGCCCGACCTCGATCGCAAAGGGACCCCGACGAAAAGCGGAACGTTGGGACTACAGGGCTTCAGGAGAATTGCGTGTGTTTGACTTGGACAACATTCTGTGCCGCCGTAGTCTAGAGATCGACGAACCAGTTCGGATGATCCCTATGTCCTGCCCCAAACCTCCGATACGCCAATACTCTCGCCGGACAATATCTCCCCTGAATCAAGGCCCTCCCGGCTCTGCGATAGGAACCGGGCAACCGGCTCGGAGGGAGGGAACCTGCATTGCTCCGTGTCCCAGCGCCGTTTTGGGGTATGTGGATAAATGATAAAATATTAACATTTCCCCGGCCTCAGAGTTTGTATTATGATGTGCATCCTTCCGGACCAGCATCCATGCAGGTAGCCAATTCGAGGATCTGCTCTTTAGATTGTTCAGTAGCCGAGAGCGTGGGGGCAATGGCTGCTGTGGCGAGCCCTCCTCCAGCTCCGAGCGCCAGGTGTGGCTGCTTGGGGATCTGGGTGTTGTCGAACTTCGAAAACCCGTCGTAGAACATGGGATGGGGATGCAGACTTTTGCACTGCCTAGCTTACGGGCACGGGCTCTATGCGCGGAGAAGGAAGAGCACTCGAACATATTAACGGTTAGTACTTGGTTTCGACCCACTATTTTCCGGTTTCATGCTGGTGCGGGCGGGGTGTTCGGAGATATGCGGAGTTCGGGGCTTGCTCGAAGCAACCCTGCATGAAGTACGGAGGGCTGCCTTGCTGCATGCTGCAAGCCAAGGCGCAACTACCCACGCGTCAAGGCAGCCGAGCGAGTCAGGCTGAGGCCGGGAAGAGTCGGCAGAGTTCAAGTTGCGTCGCCCTACAAGCAGCCTGCAGTGCAGAAGTAAAAAAGAACGTCACATTGGAAACCTGAGACGGGTGCAGGGCCGAAGAGACGGGAAACAAGGATGAGTTCGAGGCTTTCTGCGTCCGAAGCCCAGTTCTTGTAATGTGCTGCATCTGCCGCAGCTGGAAGGAAAGCTTGCTGTCCAGGCACAGACTATGCCGACTGAGTTGGACGTCAGAGAGGACCTCCGGTTGTTGGTGGGTCGGAGATTCGGGGTCTGGGGTTCAGGGCAGGGAGGTTTCGAACTGTCGAGTCTGTAGTGTCTGACGGAAGACAGTGGCATGCCTTCTGAGCGACATGCTGTGTCCAGAGTTTGGGAACCTTTGAGTCCGTGAGGATTTCTGTACCTGAATCTTTCAGTTCCGTCCCATCAGAGTTCCGCACGGCACGGCTTGACAGTCCGCCCGATTCCCACCAGATTATTACGACGACGCGTTGCAAGCATCGAGCCCATGCTACCACCACCACCAAGCTAGCCATTCAGCGCCCGGAAGGATGTGATCGAAAAGCCTCCCGTGGATGCTTTCCGGCACGACGCGCAGTACACAGCCGTCTTCCGAGCTGTTGCTTTTCATTAGGAAGCTGCAGATTTTCGGGCACGAATTTCCTGACATCGCTGGAGTGGCTACGCAGTCGATTTGTCAGGCCGCGCACATCTCCATTGCGTCCTGCCGGCGAGTCATGTGAGTGCCTTCTGAAAGCATGGCAATTGCCCGCGCGCCTCTTCAGATGCTGGCCTGCTGCCAGGCCTCCCGACCCGAAGCTGGAGTTGACGGTGCGAGACACCCGGACCAGGCACTCCACACGCAAGGACGAAGCCCTCCGACCATCTCGGCAGAATGTGGCAGGCCCCTGCCGCCGTCCTTGACTGCAACTCATGCAGTGCCGAGCTTACACACAGCTCAGCAGAGCGGTTGCTTGGTGGGCAGCTGAAAGGTCGTGAAAGTTATAAGAATACAGGGGTTTCAGTAATAATTAGAAATAGAGTGTTGAACCCATCATACTAGAGAAGAGTCTCTTCCTTGGCTGAGGCGCTGGAGCAACCGCTTCGGAGCAGTGATCGGCACGGCCTCGCCCCGCCACTGCCTCGCGTGGCTGGGGATGAAAGGGCCTTCACGAAACAGAGCCACAGCTACGACGCAGCTACGAGCACTTTACAGTAACTCTTGCATGCAATATCTTCTGGTAGTCCTTACAGCGATACTGTGAGAGGCCCGGAGGATTTCAGGGTGCCAGAGCTGTGTGCCGCTGGTCATGCCGCAGAGCAGATACACCTGGAAACCAGGCGCGAGGAGCGTCGAGTTGGAATGGCAGACAGAACATGACGTGCGTGCTGCCGGGATCAATCTTGCGTGCGGACTTTTTTTCCAGTAGTACCTTGTAGCCCTCAGACTTGAACATGTTGCGTATGAGCATTCATATTCACGTGAGCCATTGTAGGTTGGAGGGGTTTGCAATGATCATCCTCAGCAGATCGTGGCATTCCCTTCAGGGTTGTTCCTCGCCCGCGTTTGTACTGCACGTGCGAGTGTCGCTGTGCCAGCATCCGATCTCATGGGATGCGGTGGCAGCGTCATCTCTGCCCCAACTCCGGCTTGCAGCAAAACATCGCTGCCTTCCTACTGGCCGTGTCTGGGCTGCAAGGATCAGGTTGAGCATGTCATGTTTCTCTCAGACCTGCGCACCGCACCATGTGTTGACAAGCTAAACGCCGCACCCTAAACCCTAAAAGCTAAACCGTATAAACGGAGCGACTTGACGGCACTCTCTGAGGCGGCCGCCGACTTTGAGCCGTGATGCCTCTTCCAGCGAGCGACTGGCCTTGCTGCTGAAAGAGAGGTCCTGGCCGCATGTTTCGGGCATTCCACACCCGTTTCTGATCTTCTGGGTTTCTGATTTTCTTGTTCGATGAAATGCAATAGATTCGCCCACACGGACGACGGCAGATTTCCCCACTATTCGGGCAAGTACTGGTTCTGTTGCATATCGCAGAGCAATATGCTCTGCTCTCACCGCCGTACCATACACTAGACACGCAGCCATGAACACTGCTGGCAGCGCATGCAGGGTCGTAGCCAAGAGCCGAACTAGCCAATCAGGCGTTCCTATGCGCTGTAAGGCGTGGGCCGATTGAACTCGCGTTGACTAGATCCGGCTTGGTTTTGCCTGCGACCCTGTCGCCTCACGGCCGGTTCCGACCGTCTTGTAGAAAGATGCTGCAGCAGACGCACACGTCACAGGACTTACAGATTGAGAGGAGCTCCTCCCGCTCGCAAAACGTGGCAGGCCTTTTCTGGAACAGCCCGACCACGCCCTCCACGCCTTCCTGCAGCGCTGCCAAGAGGCGCGTGGCTGCAGGTGTTTGCTCCCTTGGCTCTCTTACCGGACCACTTCTTTGAGGCCATCAAGCAGGGCGAGGCAGCTGAAAATGAGGACGGGGACACAAGTCTTCCCAACTTATGAGGTGAAAGTGAAAGTCCTGTGCCTCAGGAGGAAGCTCACGATGCTCTTGACCATCTCGATTTGCAATGGTATTGCGAAGAGCAAACGATAGCTGCAGCTTTCTCACGCTTTGACAAGCGGCCCGGCAACCAGAACTGGCGGGAACGTGTCGTCCGGTTTCTTCAGTCCAGCTCTAGACAGTCGAGTCTGGACACTGTAGGTCTGGTCTAGCCACTTTGGTATATCTGGTTCGGGGATCCAATTTCGCGCAATGCCGGAATCATGCTGTGCAGCTGGCAGGAATGGTAATGGTGCTCTTCAAGGTGCTGAGCAGCTTGGATACGTAAGATTGTGGCAGTGTCTCGCGACTCCGTGTGTGGATCACGACGGAGGATTGAATACATGCTGGACTACCTGGGTTTCCCTCATGGGGAAACGGAAGTCGGCAAGTTTATCGGGACGGTGGACAGAGATCCAGATGGGAAGACCGCCCGCCAACAAGTGTTCGCGGGTGTGTCATGCATGCAGATGTATGCCTATGTACAAGGGAAGAGACCATTGCACACGAAAAGGCGAATATGTAAGACGAGACAGACATGAACTTAGGTAAGCATCACAGCGCATTGGTGTACACACACAGATTCGTGCCTATGTACTTACATCCATCTAAGCGGACTGCTGTGCTGCATGAGCTTCCGCAGGATCACCCACCACGAGTTTCTTCACTGCGTGGGCCGCTTTGGGGGCTGCACCAAGTTCCTGGAGCTCAGAAGGCAGAGGGCTTGGGGGTGGCAGATACTGCTGATGGACAAAATCCTGCATTACCCATAAGAAGGAATATACCATAATTCCCATAGTTTAGGGTCCTTGGGGTAATGCAGGATTTTGTCCATCAGCAGTATTAAGGTCCCTATGTCATTGTATTTCCATTGTATTTCACTATAAACACAAGAAGGAAGCCCAAACGAAAGAGGTCCCTGCATGATTGTACCTGTTCATTGTAGTCTACTATAAACACAATAAGGAACCCCCCAAATCAGGCCCCCGAGTCTATTAGAAATACAATAAGAAACCCCCCAAACAAGAATGTAGGCCTCTCTATTCTACTATGAATACAACAAAGACCCCCCAAAAAAATAAAAGAATCTAGTCCTAAGCCCTCAACTAGCCCTACACCCTAAACCCTATACCCTAAGCCCTAAACTTACGCCCCTAGATTCCTAAAGCTCTTCCGCCGGACGGAAAAAAGGTGCTCAAAAACAAATTACGCCCCTACTATTTTGGGGGGCTCCTTATCATAGCTATAGTTGTATAATGGGCCCCTAAGCCCCCCTGTTGGTATTCTTTACTTACCGTTGGTCAGTAGGGAATGGGAGAATTGTACCCCATTCTTCCATTCCCTACTAACCAACGGTAAGTTTATAGGATTATAAAGCCCCCTATATTATAGTACCCTTATAGATCCCTAGTAACCAACGGTAAGTTTAGCCTTGTGCTCTTCGCAGGCAGCAGATCGCGGCCCGGGGCGCCGACCTGGAAGTCTCAGAGGAGATGCGGAAGGCCAGGCCCACTTGGAGGTTCATGGGTACTTAGGGGTACTTAGATTTTTTTTTTAATTTTTGGCAATAGTAATCCCTAAGAAATAGCTAAAATTATAATTTTTGCTAGGGTTCTAAGTTCAGTATAGGTAGTCATAAGTCATAAGGGTCCCTTTCAAGGGATCTATAGGGATTCTAAAAGGGTATAGGGTTTATAGAAGGGTAGTTATTAGTGGGGTCATAAGTCCCCTAATATGGGTTATAAGTATAGTATAGTTGCCCTACTTATAACCCTGCTTATAACTACCCATGAACCTCCAAGAAGGGGTCCTTGACCAAGAGGCTATCTGTAGGAAAAGAAAGAATGTTTACCATGCAGTTACAGATTTTCTATATCTGTAGATGTACATGTATTTTTGTATATCTTTATATGTATATATTATACATAAGAGGCTAAATCATCCATTTAGGGGTTTAGGGTTTAGGGGTTTAGGGGCTAAGGGGTTAAGGAGTTTGGGGCTTAGAAGTTTCGGGTTAATCTATCTTTGTATATACTAGTCAATCTGCGTACCTGATCGGTTTATCAATCCACGTGCCTATCTATCTATCCTGCTATCTTTCGAGCATTCTCTCTTTTTAACACATACTCGCACATCAGTTCATCACAACAGACAGCAAAATGTGCACCTACAGTTGTTTCAAGCCTGTATGTGGATGCACACGTCAAGAGGATGTATATCACAAGTTCCTGTACGCATCTCTGTATATACGGGGATGTATGTATGTAGGTATGTATGTACGTAGGGCTGCGTATGCAAACTGTGCACACTTGCTCAGACGGACACGAAAACGACAAAAACGTAGAAGTATCGACAGACCCTAAGCCTAAGCCCTACACTGCGAACAAAACTAAAAGCTCCTCTCCACTCTTCAAGAGAGGACGACCTCCGCTGCCAGCTCCTGGCTGCGGGCTTCCGCGAGGAGGAGCAGGCGAGCTCGATCCCTCGTAGGGTCTTATGGCAGGTTTGACAGGGATCGTTAAAGGTCTGCGGTCTCCTATAGACCACTGGACAGGGAAGAGTGTTTGGTGAAGCAAGGCGATTGCAAATGGACAGACAAGGCTTTTCTTGCATCTCTACGCGTCTTCAGCGCATGCACCCTGAAACCCAGTAAGACGATACAAGCTCACATTATATGCCTGAAGCCTTCTTCTAGCAGCCATGGAGTCTATGAGAGTGGGGTTATGTGTCCCCTAATGTGGGTTACAAGTATAGTTGCCGTACTTTGACCTTACTTATAACTACCATGAACCTCGTAGTAGACTGCGGAGGCCACCTGGAGGCCGCTGGTCAGCTTGGCGGACCTCGCAGCAGCGGCGCAGCTGCGGCCCTGTCAGCTCGACTCCCGCAGAGAAACCACCTTTAAAAACACAGGGGCTCTCGCTGAAACTAGCCTCTCCGCAAAGCTTCATAGGCCCGGCTAGGGGGGGGAATTATAGGTTTCTGATCCAAGGAGGCGCTGCACCACGTCCGGAGCTTGGCCCGCGCGAACCACGAGCAAGCGCTGCCGGAGCTCACGGAGCGCTTCGAGAGCTTGGGCTTCCCCGTGCAGGACATGTGGATGACCATGGCCTGGATCAGGCGCTGGGGCACCGGGGGGGGGGGTTAAAAGGGGTTTTAGGGTTTAGGGTTTAGGATTTAGGGTTTAGGATTTCGGGTTTAGGGTTTAGGGTTCAGGGCACATGGGGGGGTTCGGGGTTCCTTGTGTTGGATTTCAATATGCACTGGAGCGTCATATGCAGGGAGCTGGCTCCCGTCATCCTCCATATAGACCTTGACAGCATCACGCCCTTTCTGAAGAAGGACACGCACTATCGAAACCAGTTCGAGAGCCTTGGATAAGGGAGTCGAGCTTGGCATGCCAATCAGCGACTTCCTTCCCAGCAGCGTGGTGTGTTCCTGCCAGTAAGGACCAAAAGCTCTCGTGGTTTATTGAACCTGGAGGTCCGCACGAAGTGGGAGCGATCACTGTTCGGAGATGCCTACGAGAATGCAGAGCCATTCCACAGACCCAAGCAACGAGTCTGCACCAAATGATCCATGGGACGAGCAAGCATAGGCACTACGGTTGATGATATAAATCCTGCATGACCCATAATAAGGAATATACCATATTTCCCATAGTTTAGGGTCCTTAAGGTAATGCAGGATTTATATCATCAACAGTAGCATGCACGAGTGCTGCTAAGACATGGAGGAGAGATGAGGAGAGCATGCGTATGAGTTTCTTTGGCCAAGGTATGGTGTGTTGAACGTTTGGAGCCTCTGCCGGACACTTTATAGATGCGAGTGGTGCTGTGTCATATAAGCACCGTCAGTGCTCTCTGGCTGAAAGCGAAACATGCCTTTATCCTCCGGGAAGGTCTGCCAAGAATCCAGAACGGACGAAAGCGCTTACCCCCAAGCAGCCCTTCCGACGACACCGCGCTTCCTTGTTCCTAATGGTGAGGCGTGTCGCCAGTCCCGTTCCTGTTTCTGGTGGGAGCCGGGGGACAAGGTAACGCAAGCTTAGGGGATAGAGTTCCTATCATAGTTCATACGTACACAAGTGCTGTTCAACTCCATACTTCCCTGCATGATCGAGTTGGAACGGTCGAAGCCTTCTTCATCAACTTCAACCGTTTCTGTCAACCAGGATTCTTTCGACTCCGATTCCTTCAACTAGGGTTTACCGTTTAGGGTTTAGGGTTCAGGTTTTAGGGTTTAGGGTTCATTGGGGTTTAGGTTTTTGGGTTGAGGTTGTGGGTTTTAGGGTTGAGTGCATCTGCTGGGTACAGTCAGTTGACAATCTGCTGGTGACATTTGAAGGAATCTTGGGGGGAAAGTTGAAAGAATCTGTGTGCGACCGAGTTGGAACCGTGCATCCGCTGGCAAATGTTTCCGTTTTCTTTCTGATAGATGTTTGAGATCCGAGGAACGATCCGCAGGGGGTGTACGGCTGCCAACAGTATGGCGATTCCTACCTCGTTCTGAAGGTGCGCTGTAGCGGCTGGGATGGGATGGCTAATGCAGGCACTCGCTCCCGATTTTTGACGGGAAGCAGGGAGAAGACCGGAGAGCCGAACCTTTCGCGATCTCTCCAAGACCTGCCAAGTTTTCCATCCAGCCCCTGAATCTGATTGACTCGCATCCGAGAGAAGGCATCCGCATACCATCAGCAAGTTCACGGCAGAGCCAGGAAACAGACCTTTTGCCAAGCACCATCAACAAGTTGCCAACTTCGCCCCAGAATCGATGCCTGTTCTTCAACAACTGGTTAAGAGTGTTTTGCCCTAGCTCCATGCCAAACTCAAGACATTCAGCTGAGAGTCTCTGTCCGCCGCTGTAGACGTACGAGACACGAGCCGTGATTCCTGAAGGCCGGTAGTTGTATAGGTGCGCAGATGGAGTGGTGAGCCCGACCTACATCCTGAAATCTATGTGTCTGGGCTTTGCCAAACAATCCCGGAGCAGGATGTCCGCTTGCGCTGCACATTGGCACCACAGGCCTGGTGGTTTAGGCGATGAGTCCGGGCGCTTCCGGTTTTCATAAGGTTTCCTTGTGCGGTCAGCAAACCGAATCGCCACGCCACTGTGCAGTGGAAGAGTGTTGCATCAGTTGTGAGACCTCACGGCTTGCCTGCTCGAGCGTTTCTGCCGAACCCGAACCGGAAGAACCAAAAGCAAGGCTAGAAGAAGTCAAGCGCAGCTGGTTTAGCGCTACAGCTGCTGGTTACCATGTAACCGCCCCCAACTTGCCGTGGAGGATTCCGGCGGCCTCCAGGCCCAAAGACTGGCTGTGCTGGACTTCTGCGCGCACTCCCTGCTGGAGAGGGGCTGAGCTTCTAAACCCTAAGCCCTAAACCTAAACCCTAAACCGTCCTCTCATGTCTGAAGTTGGAGATGCTATGTTATGGATTTGGGCCTGGAGGGAGACATTCTCCCGTAACCAGGATTCGGATAAGTTGCAGTCCAAGCTTCTTCGGTGAGCAGAAAGCCTAAAGCTGTGTGCCCTGAAGGAGTACAGTGACGAGGAGTTGCGTGAAATGGTTTATCTGGCAAAGCATGGGCACGAGAAAGTCGGGGACTCGAAGGCGACCTGGATGATCGCTGTACTTACCTTTGGTTAGTAGGGACTGGAGGAATGGGGTACAATTATTATAACTACTATTACTACCATATTTCCATCCCCTTCTAACCAAAGGTAAGTGTAGCGAGCATGACATGTGAGTGTGGGAGTTCTAGGCTTTTTTGGTGCCAGGCAGTCTGCCAACAATGGGGTAAGTACAAGGAAGTGCAACTCCATGGTGAGATCGATCTGACGAAGCGACTTGTCAGAAGAATCTGAGCTGGTCGCTTCTGGCAGACGCTGAGAGAGCCAGTCAGTGAATTTGTTAAATGATCAGTGGGGATGTTCAGGCATGTCGAGCGAATTGTCATCCATGGCCGACACAAGAAGCGTGAAAAGATCTACCAGGCTCGCTATCGAGCAGGTAATCCAGCGGTGCAGACCGGACGGGATGTCCTCTCACTGGCAGGATCTTGCGCAGACCAAGGGGTGGCAGATCTCATGGGTGGAGGACATGGAGCAGGAGCTTGAGGTGGAAGGGTGGCGTATTCCCAGCTTCCCAAGGGAAAGCATCCCAGATTCCCCGACTAGTAGCCAGCGGAAAGCCTGATGTTATTGAATAGAGGCTTTCCGATCGTTGCAACGAGTGCCAGGCGCGAGCAGAGGGTCCGGAGAAAACCCGCGAAGAGCCGCTCGGAGTCGTTCTGCGATTTGAGGGCGTAGAAGTAAGGTTCAGTGGTTTCCTGCTGCCCATGAACTCCTTTCCAGGTTCGACGGCATTCTCGAAAGGATTGCCTCTGGAGATCAGCCGGCGAACCAAGCAGCGGAGCAAGCAGCGGAGCAGGAGGCTGGCCGGAAGCCGCACTTCTCTTGGTTTGGTGGGCGTGATTCTGCAGAGGCTGAGGCACCGGCACAGCTGAGCTGATCGGGGCGCAAAGTAGTCCAAATGTCTGCTGGAAACTCTTATCCTTCACGATGTGGCAAGTTTTAACGTGCAAGTTTCACCCGGAGAGATCCAGCGCCCGCGAAGTGGGACGGTTTCAGAAACTTGTCGAATTACTGGTTGCAGTACTTTGAGACGACGCATATGTGGGATGCGTGGCAGTTCATCCTGCAGCTGCCAGTGCTGCTACGACTACGAGGGATGCCAATACCACCAGTACCAGCCTCACCGTCACTTCCCCTCGTGCCAAAACGATCATTCTGACCATCTTGGTCGGGACGATCAGAGCCGCGCGAGCGCCTCTTACACCCACCACAACCACGGCACCACATAGCAAGCTACAGGCGTAAGTTTTGGCTTTGTACCGTAAATACATACGATGTAAGGATATGTAAGTCCGCATATTCGTGTTTTCTGGAATTACACAATTGACATTCAAACTTTTCTACAGATACAAACACACACACACATGCCCTTGCCGCAGAACGCAGGTCTTCGTTTCGCTGCATGTCTCGCATGATACATGGCGAGGGCACAAGGTCTGAACTGGAGTTGTCTCTTTGTTGTCTCTTTTGTCAAAGTCTGGTCTAGATGACGCCATCTTAAGATTCAGTATGGTGCACTGTAACCCGCAGTATGTATGTTTCAGGCAGGGCCGTTTCTGCTGCAGTCAGCGCGACTGAAAGACCAGCTAAGGCCTGGACACCCGTCCGATCAGTTCTACGATGCCGCAGCTGCTCGCGTGCCGCCCTGGCTCCCAGTTGCCTTGCTTTGCGACTGCAGCGGCCATCCCCCTATGCGAAACTTCCGTGGAACTCCGCCCGAGGCCGCAGCCAGTCCCTGATCTGACACAGAAGCTCGAACTGGAGTTCCTGGTGCGCCTGGGGCAAGTGGAGCTCACGATGGCCTGTTAAAACATCCTGGACCTTGTTCTCGGAACGCAGAAGAGAGCTGACATTCAACTTGGGACGCAACCAGAAGAACACCTGACACGAGAACGGTGACATCCAGAAAAAAGTTCATAGTAGTGGCAGTATGCAGACCAGAAGTTACCACCGCAACCACAGCAATTCTTCTAGTGCCCTGCATAGTATTACTGCAAAACAGAAGTTCGTGGTAGTACCAATGTTGTTATTTGTGTGGGTCGCACTGCCTGTGCGGGCGCGCGCTCATGCTCACATGCTCATCTGTTGCTGCTGCTGTTGTGTCACTCTTGATACTCCTGTTGTTTGCTCCTGCTGCTGCTGTCGGTACTGCTGGTGCCGCTACTACGACGAGTATTGAGACGAATACTTCTACAAGTACCTTCTGCCAGCACTACTGCAACTACTACTTACCGCTAACTACATACTACCTCTACATACTTCCAATTGCTACTTAGTCTGTACTACTTGCTTCATGAAGCTTACGAAGACTACGAGGACTTCTACTACCAATTCTGTGTCCAACACCACCACTACCACCACTACCACCACTACCACCGCTACCACCGCTACCACCACTAGCACCACTTCCACCAAGAGCACCAGTAGCACCACTAGCACCACTAGCACCACTACCACCACTAGCACCACTAGCACCACTAGCACCACTAGCACGACCAGCACCACTAGCACCACTGCCACCACTGCCACATACTGACCCCACTGCCACTGCCACCGCTGCCACCACTGCCACCACTGCCAAGCTACTTCCTACTACCTACTCACTACTAGCTACTAACTAGTAGCTACTACTTCGTACCTATTAACGACTAACTGCTAACGACTAACTGCTAACTACTAACTACTGATTACTAGCTACTACCTACTAACTACAAACTACTAAAAAGCCCCTCTTCTACCTACCACCTACCACTTGTTAATTACAAATGACTAACTACTGGCTACTAAATATTAACTACTAACCACTGAGTACTCACTACTATTTACTAACTACAAACTACTAACCACTATGTACGAAGTACTAACTACTAGTTAGTAACTACTAACTACTGACTACTTACTACGGACTGCTGACTACTAGAGCATAACCACTAACTACTAACCACTAATCATTAACTACTAAGTACTAAGTACTAAGTCTAACTATTAACTACGAAGAACGAACTACGAACTACTAACTACAAACTACAAGCTATTAATTGCACCATGACGAGGCGAGAAATAGCGACAACTTGAGTAGCAACAGCATCTGCAACAGGTTACAACGCAAGCAGCAGCAGCAGCAGCAACAATAACAGTACGATTCACATTGTAGGCATCATCAGCAGCACCAGCTTTTTCAACATCAGCATCATCATCGCAGCAACCACAACTCCGACAACGCCAAGGACATGGTAGCAGTGGCAACACAGCATCAAGCACAAAGGCGATGACGACGTCCTAACCGGCAAAAAGAACAGTATCAGTATTCCCGCCACGGCCACCCTCACCTTCACCACCATCGCCATCACCATCATGCTTATCCTCCCATCAGTATCGGAACACATACGATCATTCCAGCCATAGTACCAGCTGTACAATGCTGATGCTAATGCCGGGTTCAACTGCACGTTCGCGCTACGTAGACCGGCGCGAACACTAATGTTCGCCAATACTAAAGCCCAGGCGCATATCATCACCACTGCGGACACTATTTCTTACGCTAGTGGCAATGCTCCCAACCAAAACTCACGCGAATAGTAACGCCGACAATATAATGCTAGTCATCGCAGTAAGCATGATCACAATCTCACTAGTTGTGACGACAGCAAAAGCTCAGGAATAGCACGAGGAATGTTTATAATCGTAACTGCATCAAAGTCTGCTTCACATGGAAGTACCTTCAGGAGACGATCGAAAGCTCCTGGGCCACAGGCCAATCAGAGCACGGCTCTCAGAATTCGGGGACGTGTCGCACTTCAATGGGTGGTTGTCAAAATTAGGGTCCCTTTTTGGGTACCCTCAAAATTAGGTGCCGTATTATCAGCGGGACCCAAAAAGGGAGCATCATTTTGACCACCACCCAAATGCACAAGGCATGCATTGTCGAGCTAGTCGTACCTACATCGCCTTTCAGCCGTAGCTGCTGCTATGTCTGCTGTGCTTACGGTTAGGACCATAGCGAGGATGAGAACAGGAGGTTGTTGCAGGACCACTACTGCAACAGCAACTGTACTACTGTGAATGTTCCTGTTGCCGTTACATATACTGTTACTGTTACTCACCCGCACTCTTACTGTTACTGCTGCTGCTACCTGTTACTTCTGCTGTTGTTGTTGCTGCTGCTGTGGCTGATGCTCTTACTGTTACCACTGTCACCGGTGCTGGAACTGTTGCTGTTGCTGTCACTCCTACTTCCGCTACTGCTACTACTACTACTACTACTGCTGCTCCTGCTGATGTTGATGCCACTGTTATGAAAGATCTTAAGGAAAGAGCTTTGGGGACAGTATGCCAAGAGAGCCGAGGCCCGCTGATTGGAACAAGTCGATTCCTATGTGGTTATTTGAAACCCCCAACTGTAGCTCTGGGAGGAGCTGCTCATCACCATGCCGTTGGACCGCATTCTGCGGGTTCTCAAGGCCTTCGTGCTCGCAAGATTTCGCGCGCTTCCCAGCTTGCATCATTCACTCGAGATTGCAGCGGCCCTCGAAGCCCATGCTCGCTGTGTGCGAAGTGGTCTGTGAGGTAGTGCCGACTTGTTGAATCGAATAGGCTCCGAGCTCGCCAGGGAGGCCAGGCGGAAGCTGCCCCGCAGTCGGGTTTGAAAGCGCGGAGAGCATTGTCAGGTGAAAAGTGCCTCCTCGACGCGGCTTTGCCAAGTCTTTCACTGGTCTCTTGGAGTGCAAGCGTAGACCTACCGTCTGAAGCTTTCGCCCTGCAAGTTAACATCATTGCTCCATCCCTCCACGGCCGTGGAGAAACAAAGGATCGCAAGGGCCGGCCTACGAGATCAATCGCTGATGTGCCTCATGGGCAACGAGGTCCGACATGCCAGATATGAGAGAAGGCTTATGCCGTTATGCCCGTAGCTTCTGGCGAGGCGCTGTTCCGCCTGTCAGACGATTTCGTCCTGGACATGTATGTCGAAGTGATGAACGTGCATGCTAGGCTTGGTATTGAGCCCAACTGGAAGCGAAAGCGGACGGTTGTCTCTGGACCTTTGAGGCTTGATGTTCGCAATCCGCGACTTGTTGGTGCAGCTTGGCCGTTCTGGGACCGACGAATAGCTCGTGGGTCAAAAGAACTGATCCGTCTCAGGCAATACTGCGCGAAATGGCTCCCTTCTTTAGGGAGCTGAGTGGCAGTCTCGGAAGGCACCTTCTTCTGCGGCATGCCGCGTCATGGCCGCCTCTGAGGCAAAGATCAATGTACGGCTGTGATCCCGCTGACAGTGATGTCTGTCTTCTCCGACGAGGCTAGGCCCTAACCCGGAGAAGGGCCCAAAGTGAGTTAGTGAGTTTGGTCGGTTGGACGAGGCTCGTGTGGCATACCTCTCGCGATGTGCCGAGCTCAACATGGGGCTGCCAGCAGGCAACTCAGGAAACCACTCTGCCTAGAACCCTGCTCGCATCTGCTGGAACTTCGACATGCTGCCAGGTTCGCATGACGAAGCCAGATGTTCTCAGACAGTGGCAGCCACAGAATGCCTTCATACCTTTGATGAGCCTTTCTCCATTTTTCAGAGACCCTCCGAGGTTTCGGCTGTTGGAGGACTGCCTTCGTTTGGACTATCATCCCACGGTGCCCCTCTCAAGCAAAGCTGCGTAAACAAGTCGCGGGGATCCGGCTTGCTGCAACTTTGGGCAGATGGGTGGGAAGCCACGAGGTGCTGCCGGCCCAAGTCCAGCTCTGGCTTCAAAACTTGAAGGCGGAGAGCGAGGCGATCCCATCTCAACTCCTTCTTTACCTCTTTGGAGTTCCGAAGCGCTGAGGCCCATGATGCAATTGTCCCAACGCCTTTGTCGGATGTGGAGCAGGCGCGATGGGCCGCCATGACTGCCCGTGGCCAGATTTCGAACGAAAGAGCCCAGCTGCCTTGAGTGGAGGACATCTTGCGGGTCCTTGAGCAGGAGCTTGATGTGGTGACTTGGACACAACTGCTCCCGGGGTTTCTGCCGTTGCCATGAGACGCCTCACCAGGCCGTCACACCGATCTTGCAGGTCGGCGCCTGCCCTTCCAAGTCCTGAGATCGAGATGCTTTAAGCCCCGCCAGGACTCCGTGCTGACGCTCCACCTGGTCTTGGGCAAGACCGTTCTGCAGGTCATGGATGCCTACGATGACTATTATGTTGCTTGCTCAGGGAGTGCTCCAAGTGGATCTTTGATCTTTGCAGCTGCTGCCTGATGTTCCGAAGGTTACACCCGCCATGGGGGGACAGCGCCTCGTGCGTGCAGCCTGGTCCTCAGATGTGGCATAGCATTGCCAGGCGAAGAAGGCTTGCATAAGAGCATTTCGCGAGGAGACAAAGCTGCAGCAGCGTCTGATCTGGCGCCGGGGCTGGAGACTTCTGACCCTCGATGCTGAGGAGTCCGGGTCTAAGGTGTTCAGATGCAGCGCTGCGGTGCTGCTGTGCCAGCCTGCCAGCCTGTAGCTCCGCTTACGTCGTTCGTCTGACGAAGACTTGCAGCGGACCTGGCAAGGTGGAAAAAGCTCACAGACGACATCTACAAGAAGGATTGCCCACGCCAGTAGAGAGAACTATCTAGAACTCCGGGATGCACGTGGAGGGGAGAAATGAAAAACCCTTCAAGAACTGCTCTCAGCAGTCAGCGGGACTTGTGAGCTTCGCCTTGTGCTCCGGCAGGACCTGCTGGAAGAGCTCTTGATCCATGGACAGCACGAATCTCAGCATGTTAACTTGAAGTTGCCAGCAGGCCACGTCCGACGTTGTATGTCTGGCGGAATATATGTATATATATATATGTTATGTATACATACATACTCATACGTATATACATGTACAGATACATCTACATCTACATATACAGATACAGGTACATCTACATATACATACACAAGTATGCGCACATGTCTAGCCACATGTGCGTAGCAGATCTCAATGGAGCTGCTGCTAGATACTACTAGAACTGCTGCATCCGCTGCTCGACTCCTGCTTCTCCTCCTCCTGATGCAGCTACTACTACCATTGGTGCTGCTGCCACTACATTGCGCCGGGAGTTGAGAACCTGTAATTGTCCTGGTCATTTTGGCAACTTTGGCCGTCCTGGTCAGGGGACTAATTTTAACGCTACGCCGCCCGCCTCGGCTCTTTAGCAGCAGGGCGAGGGGCAGTCGATGTTGTATACATGCTAGGGGGGCCTCTCAACCCCAACCGAGGGGGCGGGGGGGGGGGTGAGGAAGGGGGGGGAGGGGCCTGGGAGGGGGGAGGCCGACAAATCAGGAATCTGTCGGGAAGCCGGACAAGTGGCAAACGAACGCAAAAACAGGGTGTCTCCAAACATTTGGACTACAGGGAGGAGGATTAGGTGGGTACCTGAGGTAACCCCCAAGACGCCTGGGCCTGTGGCCTCGGCGGATTTGGGGGGGGCAAGATGACGCGTCAACTTGGTCATCCTGCTGGGGAGTAAATGCTAATGCGGGGGCAAGTAAACGCGTCATCATAGTAGTCGTGGTCATCCTGCTCGGGGGAGAGTGAGAGACCTGGGGGCGGGAGGGGGGGGGGCAACATGACGCGTCAACTTGGCAATCGTGGTCATCTTGACCACTTGCACCACTCGTACCACTTGTAGCCATTTTTGTGATCCTTGGGGAGGCTCAAAATGTCTGAAAAAACAATATTTGCCGTCTGGGGTTCACCAATCATAAAAATAGCACTCTTTTTTGCAGTTTGGGGAGGCCCAAAATGCTCAAACACACACATTCATGCGAAGCGCGCATCGGTTTAGGGTTTAGGTGTTGGGGTGTGGGGTTTTAGGGTTTTGGGGTGTAGGTCTTTAGAATTTAGGGTTGCCCGCGCCCGGCGCTCGCATTGGTTCAGGGTTTAGGCAGTGGATTTCCTGCTGGTCTCCTGCGAGTCGGCTGCTTGTGTGGTCTGCCACGCCTATACCTGCGCGCCGTCGGTACTAGTCCAGTATTTGTGCGAGGACTTTTTCATCCACAACAGCACCAATGCTTGTGCTCGTACGCGGACTCGTACAAGTACTATATATATATATATACACATCTTTATAGATATGACATATCTACCACTGCTAAGCTTACCCGTGACGACAACTACGATCACGACCACGACTACTACCACAACCACTACCACTACCACGGCCACTACCACGACCACGACCTCGACCACGACCACCACCACCACGACCCCGGGACCGCTACCGCGACCGACCACGACCACGACCACGACCACCACCACCACCACCACCACCATCACCACCACACTACCACGACCAATACTACGACGACGACGACTACTACTACCATACTGCTACTGCTGCTGCTGCTCCTTCTCCTGGTGGTACTGCTACTTGCTCCTGCCGCCGCTGTGGCTACGGCTGTGGCGATGGGTACGGCTGCTGCTCCTGCTACTGCTACTGCTACTGCTGCTGATGCTGATGCTGCCACCACTACGACAACAGCAACAACAACTACTACTGCTACTGCGACCGGGAAAGGCTTAAGTAGTCTGACAGCAACACCGATAGTGAGCTTCCCGTGACTTGCTGAAGGCGCAGCATTCGGCCTCCATGATCTAGGTGCGGGGCCGTGGTCTCGGGTCTTTGGTGGATGTTACATCGGTTGCTGCCGGCACTTGCACTTGCAGAAGGGTTACCTCATAGGCGCTATTTGTGATGGGACTTCACCGTACTGAAACCCACTTTCTAAGACATCCTTGCGGTTTCCTGGAAGCACGTCTCTTCCTCCATGTTTGTGCTCAGGCAGAGTCAGCTGAAAGCCGGTTTCACCGCTTCCCATGAGGATCAAAGTTTCCATGGGAGAGAACCCAGTGCTCTGCGCCACCCAAACAGCATGCACACCTCTTTCCCCACACTGCAAACTCCAAGGCTCTAAGGTGGCACAGATAAATTCCATGCGCAAGAGGCGCCCCGCTTGCTGGAATGAGCAAACTGCCCCAGCAAGTCGGCCATCTTTCATCTAGACTTTATCTGCATACCTCGGAGCTATGTTGTGGTTGTCAGCAGTTGTCGTCTGCAGCGAAGCGCTCGTACATGCAGCGTGCCTAAGGTTACTAGTCTAGCTCAACTCGAAGGACTCAGTCGTCTTTCGACGCGCAAGCAATAGAAAGAAAAGAGTCAGAGCAGGGTTCCGTCAGGGCATGACTCTGTTCCAATACTGCCACGGTCGGGTCGGAGTTCCCCTTGCCTTGCATGACACGTGCTTTTTGCTTGATGAAGGAGTGAATGCACGGCAGCACGCTTCCGCTCTGTTCCACATCTGAATCGACTGTGTTTTGATGCATGTCTGGATCGGCGCAGGGCTCAAGTGCTTGCAGTTGCAGAACAAAAGTTTGCAGCATGGCGTATGCATAGTCCGAGATGGTGGAATTGGTTCTTCAGCAGGCGCAATGCAGCGTGACTGCACCTCAACACATGTGTCCTTGGTCACTTGTCCGGTAGGACATTTCATCCTCACAGACCACCATAGCGGCTGTCAGCATCGGAGATTCGCGGGGCGCCTTCGAAAACGAAGCATAGCTTGGATATGCAGTCCGTACTGCCCGAGGCAGACAGTCGGAAACCTGAGGGAGTCTACATCCTTCCATTTTGCAAAGGCCGATGCTTCCTCTGCACGGCCCATGGGGACCTTGTGGGTGGGTCCACGTACAGGCGACTGGCCACTACGGCAAAGTGGAAGTCTTCCATCGCTTGGGTGGCTGCAGGATGCCCAGCTTTCTCAAAAGTGGGAGTCGAAAGTCGCCCTTGTGCAGATCGGTTCGAGGTCGCTTAGACCCGATCCTCGCCGATGTCCCTGAAGCAAAGGCCGGGATCAACGTACTCCGACCCGATGTGGAGTTCCATGCATGTCAGACGATGCAGGTCTTGCTCCGAGAGGCCCACGGCCCGGAACTCGATCTTCCTCGTTTCGGCTCGTAGGGCGCAGGCGCGCGCGCGCGCGCGCGTGGGCATACGAGGCTCGCAGGACCCAGCTCGGGAGGGGGACCCAGCCCCAGAGCCACCGGCAGAAGCCGAAGCCTCGACTGCTTGGAAAACGTGACTGAGAGAAGATCTCCCTGCCCGATTAAGGCTTCTGATTCGGGCGCCAAATGCTCCGCATCAGAGTACATCAAGATGCCTCGCACTGAACACCCCTGCGTACTGTGTGCTGGGACCTGAACGTGCGGGAAACCGACATTGCAGCCTGACCATCCCATCCACGAGGGACTGCAATCTCGGCTCAAGTGCAGCTTGGGGCGTCGAATCGGCGCGACTTCGACGGAAGCTCAGACGCTGCCTAGGTGACGATTTTCGGAGCAATGGCTCTTTTTGGCGAGCTTGCGCCAAGCCTCGCCAGATGGACGACACCTACCCCAGCTTGTGCATCCCAGCCTGCGAGGGCGAGAGGGCCGAAAGTGCTGGGCGGTGGCCGAGATGCTCGGGCGCCCGCTTTCTCGCGACCGGCTTTCTTTGCTGGACCTAGCCTCGCCAGCCTCACCAGTCTCACCAGACTCTCTCTATCTTTGGCTTCTGTCGCTGCTGCAAAGAGTCTCAGCAGCAGGCGAGCAACGAGCTCCAAAGGCCCTCCAGCATGGGCCGCCGAAGACCTCAGATATGTATACCCCTTCTCCGACGGTGTCGAGGCCTTCTCCTTCAAGCCGGCGACCAAAAGGTATACTATTGATTTTCTCAGGTCCAGCTACTTCTTGATTCTCCACGTCATCGCCTTTGCCTGCGGACCATGCTTGAGCAAATGTAAACACCTCGCGACCCAGAGATTGGGCGTAGTGAGTGGTGCATTGTTGACCCTTCCATCTTTGGTTACAAGGGACCGCTAAGTTTTGGGTTGTACTTGCGATGTAGCTACACATTCGGGTGCCTCCAATAGCTCGTGACTGCAGGACCGAGTACGTTTTCACTTCCTGCTCTTCTCTGCTGCCTTGGTCTCTTCGTGTCACTCCAGACGCTGGGAATCTCGCTGTCCTACCATCGACATTTGACTCACCGCTCTTTCCAGTGTCACAAGTACTTCGAGCCGCTGGGAATCACATACGTCTAGCTTCTCCTTGAAGTAACGTCGTACCCAAGCTAGATCGGATGGTGACTAAGCCTGGACACGATTGCCTAGCTTTCCTTGGTGATGTGAGGTACTTCATCGCGTATTGCGGCGCGTTAAACATGCAGGGCAATCCGATATGGTGGGCCATGAACCACACGTGGCACCACAGATTCTCGGACACGCCCTGGGATCCGCACACTCCACGGGAGGCACGTTGCTCGAATGCTGCCCTCAGGCCCTACAGCCCCCGGCAACCCAAGACCAGCCATACTTGAATTTCCGAAAATAGGAAACCTTAATGTAGTACCCTAAACAGTAGGATCCTTATTACAAGGACCCAAAAACAAGGTACCGGTACCTCTAATTCTCGGACACTCCCACATCCAGAAGCAAGTGCTTTGAGCAGGGGCTCTGGACCGCCCATGCCGGGTGGTTCTTCGAGAAGGAGACTGGGCTCTTGCTAAGGGATTTACTTCAACTTATCTTAATAAGGAAACCATAGTATTGGCTATAGATCCCTAAATTACTATAGATCCCTTGAGATCCCTATTATGGTAACTTTAATTAGATTCCTTAGCCAGAGCCCAGGAGAGGGTTCTTGAGAAGATGCCGAAGGCCATTGTGGCCTCACACAACCACGTGGAGCCCGGCGAGGAGGATGAAGCCTACCTCCCTTGGTTCTACAAGGAGTCCCCGGAGTTCTACGACTGGCTTCGGCAGACCTATTACATACACCAAGTCTCTCAGGTTGCGCTGTTGTATCTGCTGGGTGGGTGGAGCTTCGTTGTCTGGGGCTTTGTGATCCGACTCCTCCTTGGCATTCACGGATCGGTCCTCAGTTGGTAGTAGCCTTTGTGCAGAATTACGCAGCGAAGGGGCAGAGGTCCCCGAGTCCCCGAGCCGGGTCCAGAACTCAGGAGTTTCGGCCGTGAACTCCTTTGCGCATGTTTGGGGCGAGCAGCCCTTCAAGACCGGTGACGACTCCAAGAACAATGTCTGGGTGGCAATGGTCTCGTCAGGCGAAGGCTGGCACAACAATCATCACGCATTCCCAAGGTCCGCAAGGCATGGGCTTTTCCCGCCTCTTGCTTCAATTAGTCCTGACTTGCCGTCGTACTGCCCACTGCCCACGGACTAAACTCGAGCCGACATGACAACGAAGGGGACAGTTCGATCTGACCTATGCATCTCGGCCGCAACTTCAGGGACGTCCTCGTTTCAGCTGGAAATCGCTTGCAGCGAGTGATGCTCTCCGTACGGTGATGGGACCTTCTCTAGCCTGCGTTTCATGTCCTGTAGGCCGGGGTTTACAACAGGCAGGCATGCACAAGGCAACGTGGGAAGCCGGCATCAAAGGCTTTAGTTCGGCATAGAGCCCGACCCAACCCATCTTACCCGGAGAGAGCATTCGGATGACGTTGCTTTCGTATTGATCAGCTTAGCAGCTGCAACTGAGAATTTGATCCTCGTGCTGGAGAAGCTGGGAGTGGTTTGGGATGTGCAGCTTCCCAGCGATGCGCAAATTGCTGCAAAGCTGCTCTCTGCGAGCGAAGCAAAGGAAGCGAAGGTCGCGAAGGCGAGCGAAGCGAAGATGGATGTCGCCGTTGCGAGTGAGGCCTAGATAGCCCGGGACCAAACTCCCGGGCTCAGGGATCCTCGATAAACGGGTCAAACGCACTAGAAAAGGTGGCTGTTGCACGAATGCCGGGATTTCGTGCTGCGGGCGGTAGGGTGTGCAGTCGTTTCCCACGCTCTCCATACTGATGAGAGCCAGCTGAGGCATGACTTAGAAGCGCGGCTGGTTGGCGCTGTGGAGGCACCTCAATTGAACGCGCATGCCCTAAATAGTAGGATCCTTGTTATAAGGACCCCAAAATGAGGATGTGCTTCGGTCCAGCTGCATCGTGGCGGCCTGATCCATTCGAACTTGCAGGAGCTTCTGAAGAAGCGGCCTCCACCAGAGGCTGCTTGCGAGTTCTTGGCCGCGGCGCTGTCCCTTTCTTACAGCAAAGGTTCTTGTAGCTCTGATCGCCATTGGTGGTGCGCTTTATCGAGTGATTTCTCTACACATCGCGTTAAAGATGTCGCCATGAAGCCAGAACAGGGGCAACAAAGATGTAGTTTTGATTGTGCCACCCAGGTGCGCAGGCTAGCTCTGGGAGCAGCAGCCTTGTTCGACTCGTCTTGGACTACATGTGCACGGTGTGTTAACGTTTCTTCGGTGCCGTCTCTGAACCTCGGAGACTGTGCGACCGGTCCTAGCCAAGCCAGCCGTCCGTCAAACGTCGCTGTCTCCAGTATCATCTGCTGATGGTAGTTTGCTTTTGCTTGCGCGGGCTAGTTTTTACAACGGCCAAGCCAGATCAGCAAAAGGGCCGAGCTTCCGTCTCTATGATTGCAAAGACCACGATCGGATACTCTGCCAACCGCTTGTGCCCCAGCTCTCAGTGGTTTTCTTCCGTTGAGCTTCTGGCTAGGCGCTGTGGCATGGAGCTGGAGACATCACCACAAGTCATACACGTAAACATTATCCTCGCTCCGACTGACAAGCCTTGCAAAGTTTATGTACCCGGCAGCCTTATCCGATACCTACGAGAAGCTGCATGCTGTATTCATGCACATGTCTGTGAGAGTTTCTGAAAATTTGGTCCCTTTTTGGGCACCCTAAATATTAGATGCCGTATTACAATAAGGACCCAAAAAGGGACCCTAATTTTGAGAACCACCCACATGCGCAAACAGTCCATCAGAGCCCAAGAGCGGTCCTTCGGAGAGCTGCTTGCTACCCTATGTAGTAGGATCCTTATTATATGGACCCCTAAATAAGGTACCCCTACTTTTCGGAAACTCCCAGTTAAGTGCTGTGACGCAATGGCGGCGAGTGCAGGAAGCCGGGAGCTGAGCAGCGGAGCAGGGCTCAGTGCTGCATGGGTTTAGGGTTTTAGGGGTTTAGGGGTTTAGGGGTTTTGGGGTTTTGGGTTTAGGGTTTAGAGTATGTGCAGTGCGAGTCGTGTAGGCTTGGACGCGTTCTTGGCTCTTGCTGCACGGCTCCCGCGAACAGCAGCTGCCGGAGGCACAACTCGTACTGGTAGGTGCTTGCACTCGGGTTCCGACTGGTACCAGTACTTGGTGGGGACTTTGATGTAACGCGTAGAGGCTGCGGTAGCCGGTAGCCTCGGCATGAATGGGTGCGCAATCTGCAGGGCTCCGGCCGCAGCATGCTGCCACTGCAGCTGAGCTGCTTCAGCAGGCATTTTCGACCGTCCCTGCACCAATACCGGTCGTGATGCGCAAACTACCTCTGGTCTGGGATTGCTCACAACTAGGATCCAATCTGGGATGCTTGGAAGCGACACCACCAGATGCAAGACAAAAACTTTGCAGGCAGAGAATCTGGTCGCTGCACACCCGCAGCGCTCTGCGGAGATCGCCATGGCATGAAGCCTAGACAGTAGTGTGATGATATGATCTCTCGCATGTCAGTGTCTTGTGGTGATAAGCAATGAGCCAGTGACAGAGGGAGAGAGAGCTCGAGTGAGTTTCCTGGTGGGCGGAAAGGTCCTTACAGGACGAGCCTCTGGCAAATTGCGAGGGGCAGAGGTATGCTTTGCTGGGCGTTGTGCCTTCATGCCCGCGGGGAAGGCGAGAGCAAGAGAGAGCTTCACAGTTGTTTCACGCGCATTCTTGAAAGAACAAGAAAGAGGGGAGAGGGAGTGCACTCTCGCTCTCTCTGCCTCTCGCTCGGGGAAAAGAGCTTCGATGCCGACCCAGGTAGCTGGACGAATCAGCCCCATAGCTGCGCAGCCTGGGCTGACTGAGTCGTTTGCTCGCACCTTACCTAGCAACATGCTGCTGGAAGCCTACCGTAGGGCTCTGAAATTCGTAGCTTGAGGCAAGGCCGATGTCGTGTGAGTTGATGTGCCTGCAGCAATCTGCATGTTGAAGGTGCCTTTCAAAATACAAAAGACAAGGACAAATAGCACAAGATAAGCAAGAGGACTGGAAGATACTGGAAGTCGGAAGCAAGGCGCAATCGAATCCTGCAAAGAGCCAGGTGGTTGGCTTAGAACAAACAGGTGGATCAAACAAGATCATGGTGCAGTCTTGTGAAAAGCTTCAACCGGCATGTCGCAGCTGGGGTAGCTTCGGTACGCCCATGGTATGCCTTTGGGGTACAAGCGCGAGATCTCGTTTCCTCGACCAGCCATTTGGCTGCAGAAAGTCTGGCTTCCGTTCTTTTCGGATTTGAACCTCAGAGAGAGAGGCTCATGGGCGCGGCACTACCATTCCGCGCGGCCACACGACACCATCAGGCTGAAGAAAGCACCCTGGAGGCTTAATGCCTGGTTTGCCCCGGCGCGAAATTCCAGGTGCTGGGGGTCTGATTGCCGCGGCCGGCGTGGCCCTGGACAGCGATCGCCGTCACTGGCAACCGGTTACCCGTCCCCCGGACTCAGCTGGTCAGATGAGATGGTTAGTTGTGCTTTCATCTTTGAAGAGCCAAAGCCGGAGGCCCCGGAGATGGCAAAGTGGTCAGGCTTTCTGCAACAGCCAGGACTAAGAGTGCTTAGCGAACGGGTGGAGATCCCTGCCTTGTTGAAGTCTTTCACTGTTCCTCTCAATTTGCCTGGCAAGAAGGACGCCTCGCCGGTGGGTAAAGAATGAACCCGACAAAGATGCACCTTCCTTGCACAAGCTCATGCCCTGGGAATCTCGGCGGCAAGGTGCTGCAAAGCTTCGGGATTTGTGGCGGGATTCAATTGCTTGATGTCACGCTGCCTAGGCTGGCAGGGAGAGGCGCAAGCATCTTGGACGCACGGGATTCCGATGTTCTGTGTAATCCGAAGTGCCCCTGTAGCCTGGGGGATGATGCCGAGGTCTGCGATGGCGGCTCAGTCAGAGATACACGAGGCAATGGTTGGCATGATGCTATTATGGTTGGCAGCATGATGCTATTTTTGTCGATGCCGTGCAGCTGCAGGAGGCCGCAGCGAAGCCAAACGAGCCCGCTCGAAGAGCTTCGACTCAGGCAAAGGTCACCTTCGCAACGACCTTTGTCATGCTTCTGGTGCCTGGCAAGTCTCAGGCTGAGCAGCAGCAGCAGGGGGGTCAAGAGTCCATCACTGGCATCGAAGGCTTTTGCTATTCTGCTGAGATCGTGGCTGAACGTAGTCTGTGGTCTGTGACCGTGAGGATTCCAGCCACACCTTCAACAAAAGCGGCGGAGTGTGACGGAAGCGATGGCAGGACAGTTCTTTTTGATGCTTGCTTGTGGAACTATAGTAGAATGATCAGAAGCTGTCTGTGGGCTTTCAGGATTGCGATCCGACCTGCTGAGTTTCTTTGATGCAATCTGCTGCCGGCATCTATCGGGCTGTGATAAAAAAATCCAGGCATGCTGCTTCGAGGTCATTCAATAAAGCCGAACTATCGGTACCGGGCTGGCATGCCAGGCATGGTCTGCCTCTCCGCACTTCGGTTATGAATTCTGTCCAGAGGTTCCATATCCTTGAGTGGCTACACGCGGCTTCTTCTGCCTGCCGAGACGCTTTTCGCTCTGTCTGCAGGCGTGTGGGACACGATACAGGAGAATGCCAGTGCCAAGGAGTGGTTCTGCTGCTTTTGATCCACACGAGAGTCTAAGAGTTCTGCTCCTGGGAGGTGGCGAAGATGAGGCGTGCTTTCATGGAGGCAGCTGAGAGACGAGAGGTGCCCGTCTCAGCAGCCATGAAAGCAAGTGGATCCGATATGATGAGAAGGTTCTGTAGGGTTGCTGGATGACACCGGCTCGAGAAACCGGAATTCGCCCCTGTTGACAAGCCCTGTACAAGGATCATTCTCACGAGAAGAGTTGTCATCACCGCAGCTCGTGAATACGCGTGGGCAGGCAAAGCAAGCGGAGCAGGCAGCACTTCGGGACTCTTCCGTTTTGTCCGGTATCGGAGCTCAGAGTGGTGCCAACGACATCCCAGCCACCTGCGTGTGAGTCCTGAACATGAGTTCCTGCTCAGTTGATCATGGAAAGTCGACATCAGAAGCAACCACGGATGAGTTCTCCATCTCGCCGCTACTCACAGTTGCCGGGCTCCTATTGCACTCCTCCGCAGGGCCCGGTGTTCAGATTCATCGGAACCAAGGTGGTGCTCTTCTTCCACGCTCCTTGCAATCCGCTGAACATGGATGACATTTTGATCCTCAGGCCCCCCCCCAGAAGCCTTAGCCTTAACAGCACTCACGCGAGCAGCTTCGTTTCTCAAGGAAAGCGCGTCAGGCGATCGAAGCGTACCATCAGGCCACGCCGTTGCAAGACGACTGAAGTCAAAGGGCATGGCACGACGCTGGAAGGTTGCTGTTGCCGGTGCTTTGGTCATCCCTTTCAGCACTGTCGCCCTCCAGTGTGCCGGCTGCAGCTAGTTGCGATTACTCGCACCTTGTTTCTGCCGTAGAGAGTCCTACCTTTCCTTGGCTGTGCACCCAAGGTGTTCATTATCTTTACTCATGGTTTTTTCCACACCTCATTGGTTCGCATGAACTGTGGCCACCTCTGCAGCCGTCGCAGTTGTTATGCAGCAGCCGTGGGACTTACATGATCTTCCGGTAATCAAAAGCTTTCTGCTATTTTAATTTCGTGTTTTCTTGACCCTACAGGGCTGGCTCTGAAAGCATGGAAGCACGGGCTTTCGTGCAGCTCTGCTCTATGCATGTGCATGCTGGTTTAAATTCAATGCTCAGTGCTGAAGCCAACCAGTCGTTCCTGGCCGAACTATCCTTGTGGTTTATGGCCGCAAAGAATGGGTTGTTCAGGTTCTCCTTTCATGCCTTGTATTGGATCTCCAGCTATGCAATTACACGGGGGGTCACAGATGCATTTGCGGATGGACGTGGAACCTTTCTTTGTACTGCTGCGTTCTTCCTGATCAACATGTATGCGTGCAGACATACGCGGACATGCGGGTCATGATCATGCTGTGCCCCTTTCTGCTTTTCGGCTTTGTTCTTTCGAGGAAACGGTTTGCCGGCGAGAAGGGAGCAGTTCTTCTCCCATTTGACTTCCGTATGGACAGGGTGCTCTCATTTTTTGATGTTCTATGGACCATGTATTTCTGCAGAGCAGGAGATGGCACAGAGCGTGATCGACACCGCAGAGCAGCCTGCGCCCCAACTTTCGCAAGGCATTGGCATGGCAAGCAAAATCTCAAGACCCTTGTTGCATCTGATCTCGGGCACCGTCAGTACCTCTGCCTCCAACCATCTCTGCTGCAAGTATCTGTAAGTGGCCCTGTTGACTGTCCACCCTGTTCTGCTCTCTGTTGGTTGGCATGCTCAAACAGTTGCTGTCGCTCAGCTTTCCCAATAAAGCGCATAACGGTCAATTCAACGTGTGCTCTTGCATGCAACACCATGCCAGGAAAGCAACATCTTCTTGCAAATGCTTATAGGGCCCATGTGCATGCAGAAGAGACCTGCTGTTGGCGCTTTCAGCTCAGGGGGTCGTGGATTCTGACCGACAACTGTGAGGTGCTCCCGACTCCGCTTGTATGCTTGCAGACATTTCGCAATCGCTGTGTTTCCAAAGTATTAGATGGTATATATATATATATATACTAACAATCCCGTCATCCGTTTAATAGCACCCCCCCCCCCCAAATATGAAGAATGATTTTGGGCCGTTCTTTTTTTATGTTGGAGGGATTTCGGGTGGTTTCAGGCTGGATTTTCCGGAATTCGAGAGTTTGGATTTTTATATACTGCCAGGCAAGGGACTAAGCAAAAGCATGGGACAGGGCAAAAGAGCGCTAGCCTGGGAACTCCGGTTTCGAGCAGAAATTACCCGCCCCAGCCTGGGAGCCCCGCTCGGTGTGTTCACTCGCCTAGCCTGGGAGTTCCGGATGGAGACAGTAATGAAACATGCAAGATACTCCGGAACTCCCAGGCCAGGGCGAGTGAAAGCACCTAAAGTCCCGAGGCGAGTGTCAGTAAAAGCTACCAATCCGCACCCAGGTGGCTTTGCCAGGCAGAAACCAATGTGCACCCGGTCCAAAATAATCCCCACAATATTAAAAATTCTGTTGTTTTTCATGGCCCCAGCCTGCGAATATCCAATTCTCCATGCGGGCCGTTCCAATTCCACCTAGCCTGGGAATTCCAAATCTAGACCGCTAAACCCTGAAATTCCCACATCCGGACTCCGCTCGGCCCTCCAAATATCCGCTTTCCAATTGCAAATGCGCGCCCTACCCTGGTAATCCAGGATTCGGTCCAATCGCCTCATGCCGATCCTACCTGGGCCCTAATTCAACATGCCTTCAAATCTGGATTCTTTTTCGGCCGGGGAATTCTTTTTATTGAGGGGGGGTTCATTAATCGGATGAAGGCATTAGTATATTATTGTATGTTATATTATGTTCCGTTTTGGCAGGAAGGGTGCTTGGCATCTGCACCGGGCTCGCTCCTGCACTACTTCGCCGAATATACGAGGCCAGAACGAACGAGACACCCCTGCAAGTCTGCATGGTGCTTTGCAAGCAAGAGTATTCGAAGGCATTGTGTAGAAACGGCCATTTGCAGGAGTCGTTTATACGATGCCGGCTACGAGACGAAAGTGCTCGAGGCAAATGTGCAGTCTACCCGGAGCTTTGACTACACATGGCAATGTCCAGATAGTTTTGACAACAAATTGACATGCTCAGCTAGTGTTTCGTGCGTGTGCAGCACAGCCATTGACGTGATCGAGTTAGATAAGTCGTCCGTGCGAATGCATTCCTTTGCAGGTAAGGTACGAGGACGTGGGCGTCAATGCAGTGTCAACAGACTTCTGGAGAGCTCAGCACATGATAATCAAGACGCCACATAAACGTTTGAGCCCACAAAAACAAGATGTGCTCAGCAACATGCTTGACTCACGTGTTCAACAGTCGCAGGACTGCTTGTGGAGTGACGGGGACGTTTCGAAGACCGAGCACCGCGTGGTGGAGGCGACTCTGTGGGATGCATTCAACTTTTGCGTGTTCATTTGGGTAGTTGTCAAAATTATGGCCCCTTGTTGGGTACCCTAAATATTAGGTGCCGTATTAGAATAGGGACCCAAAAAGGGACCATAATTTTGACAACCACCCATTTGCTGCGGCAGGATCCTTACGGTCTGGTTGCGACCTCAGTCACATGAGCCCAGCCGCATCGAAGCCGGACTGGAATTGCGTGCCCAGAGTTACAGTAGTTGCAAGATACTGCGGGCACGTATGGAGCGTCTTTTCAGCTTTATCCTGCTGGTTGAGAAACCGAGCTTTCTCACAGTTTGTGTCATAGTTGGCTGACATCTTACATTTTATGGCTACTTAAGCCCAGGAAGGAATCGATAGTTTCATTTCTAATATGACCCCAACCATAGAAGAGCAGTGAGGTCCCGGAGGTGCCGAAGACGGCCAATGTCCGAGGGCTCTTTCGTGTGCTGATCGAGTGCCCCAAGCAGGTCGGCCCAGCTTTTGGATTTTAGGGTTTAGGGCTTAGGGTTTGGGTTTAGGGTTTAAGGTTTGAGGAGTGGAGGGTTTCGGGTTTTGGGTTCCGGGTTTTGGGCTTTGTGCGATTGGAAGACCTTGGTCCGGTTGACACTTTCTCGTCTGTATAGATAGCTCATGGTCGTGGCAGATGGCAGCGGTGGAATCTCCAGAAAGGAATGCATCTTCCGGTTCACTCGTGTCATGATTGATAACTGCTAGGCTCCTAAACGATCTCGACCCCGTTTCCTTCCGCTGTGCCCTCTCCTGCATCGTACTGCCTGTGGTGCAGCAAGCTTGTGTGCTAAATGAGATAGTGTTATTAGATTAATAACATTATCAGAATATAAAGTAACCAATACTAGCAATAGTAATAGTAGCAATTATTAGTGATGATGATAATACTAATAATAAGCATAATGACGACACTCGTAACCTCATTAGTTTGGCTCACGAAGCCGAAGCCGTGCTGTGATGCTTTGCATTCGGCCAGTCTCTAGTAATTGCCTTGCGCTACTAGCATTTTCATGCTGGATGTCAACAAAGCTGGCTTGCGCCCCTTAGCCGAATTACTCACGGGAGTAAAAAGCATGTGGGTGTCGCGCCTGCAGAGGATTTGTCGTCGCTGGCTGTGGTGAAAGGAGCCATGCAAATGCACCACGGCGCTTCGCGCCTTTCTCTGCGCTTCGAATGGCCGAAGCAGACTCTGATTGGTCGCTCATGACGTGGGAATCCACTCCGCCCTTCTCTCACCGTCCCCGCCGGCTCCCTGGTGTACGAAGCTTGCGTCAACTAGTCGTAACGAAGGAGTTGAGGCATTAAGTCCAAGGCAACCTCTTGCGTATCTGCTTCGCAGGTGCACTGCCGCGAGCTCTTGCGAAGATCCATCTGGCTGCTTTGCCGTGGGGAGGATGTTCTGCATGGTAACTGTTGGCAGTCTATACAAACCCTAGATCCCTAAATCGTCGCTTGCGACACAGGAGACCTCGGCATGTTGCGATGTCCTGCGCCGCCTGCTCGGCGCATCCGCGGCAGAGCTCCTCCAGCGTTGGGCCTCACGCCACCAGGTTGGGGCTCGAAGATAGCGGACAAACGTAAATATTTGGGTGTCAGGATAATCTAATGACGAGAGTGATGCCGATGGCAGTCTGCGGATGCTGCTGCTGCTGCTGCTGCTGTTACAGATGATGACATTGACAAAGGCAATGATGGTGACAACGTCGAGAGAAAAGCGAGCAGTACTAGTCCATGCTGGAGACGATGCTTGCACAGATGATGGTGATTGATGAGAGATCGGATGGATGGATGGATGGAGGGAGGGAGGGAGGGAGGGCGAAGGGAGCGAGGGAGGGAGGGTGGGTGCACGGATGGATGGCTGGATGCTGAGGGTGGTATGTCAAGAAGGTGATGCCCCCCCTCCGCCAGCGTCGGAAAAGGAAAGCTCGCCCTGATACGATAAGCCATAAAGGCACCCGCTCCACGGGCCCAGTGTAAGTCTGCATGATCAAAGCGGCCCCTCATGGGTTTGCACATCGGAGGGAAGCCTTTGCTGCAGGAGGGCGCTCGCTCCAAATTCAGGACCCAGCTCTCTGGGGTGTTGGGTTTCAGGGGGATAGGAGGCAACAAGGGCAGTTCGGGCATCCAGAACGAACGTTGATATTTACAGCGTTTGCGCTCGTGCCCTTGTTTCTACAAACATGTTCACTACCGCTACTGTCTTCTATCTGCTTGAAGATCTCTACAATATAGTTTGCTGAGACCAGGTGCACAACTTACTGGAGATGTGCACGCATATGTGCATGAGCACGCGTTACATCACGTCTGCGCACTCCCTAGCATGGTCGTCGCAGTGTAGTTGCTGGCAGTGCGCTGTGAAGGAGCTGAGAGTTGGAGTTGATCTCAGATCTGCAAGCATCGGATGAAGAGTATGTAGGAACCCGTCACAATGCTACCATCGGATGTCGGGAGAAGCTAGATTCGGCTAGATTTCCGAGAGAGGTGTCAGCAAGCACGCATAGTCTTCAGTTTTAGTCGGCCTAGATTCTGGTGCACTATGGTCAGCCCAGCTGCAATACATCGAAGCAGCACGGACATAAGCATTGACAAATCGACCGGTGCGCACCTTCGGGGCTTTTTCCAGCTCCAAAGCATGAGCTCTGGAAAGTAGATGTGTGTCGATGTTGGTCTTCTTGCATGTTCCAATACCATCTTTGCCAGAGGAACTTCAGCAACATTACGTGGAATGTCCATGAAGCCAATGATGTATATCTGTAGGAGTCTTTGCCTCTGATTATCAGAGTGCCCCGATAATGAGCTCCGCGTGGCAGCATGTGCGAAACTGCCGTGTTTGCCATGCTGGATCGAGCATCCGCTGCAAGGCGATACTCGCTTCAAAGAAGAGTGGCGTCCGTTCAGCAATTTTCGAGCTCTCTTAGGAGTCTGTTGTTTTTGGATGCATCGAGACGATCTTGGCCGGTAGATTTTGCACTGCCGAGGCTCGGAGATATGGCGAAGTGGTCTCGGAACGCTTGCCTTCTCCCGATGCATGGACGAAGGCTCGAGGATCAGCCCGAATGCCATCCTAAACCCTAGGCCCAAGTCGGCAACGTAGTGACAATGACAAGCTCTTCAGCACCTGCCAGCACGGGCCATAATGCAGCTATCTGGCTGGGGGGGGCCCTCGAGGGGGGGGTGCTCGCCGAACTCATGACAAGTCTTCTCCGCGCTTAGGATGACAGCCAGGATCGCTCAGATGTTTCAGCGAGGAAGCTGCGGCCATGTCTTTGCAGGTGCATGCACGTGAAGCTCTGGCGGCGTATATCGCTATGGAGGCCCTGCTTTGCTTGGCATCTTGGGGCTGTGCCTGTGGTGCTTGACAGGGTCTCGGGAAAGCAGCGGGAGTGTGGAGCCTAACAGCCAGATTCCAACTCCAACCTGTTCCGCCGACTTTCTGCGATGGCTTTAGGTCGCAACGCTCTCCGTGGCCTCCCGCGCCGTAGAAGGCTGGATTTGGGCTACTGAGGGCTCTCTTTCCGCCTCCACTTTTCTCCATGCGCTCCCAGGATCCCAACTGTTGGAGGCGCACGACCTGGCCGCCGCGCTCGGCTCTTGGGGCTCGAGCCTTCGACGCCCTGAATGGCCATGGCCCGAGGCTGGCGCGCCTGGCAGCTGCCAGAAGCGCCTCCAGCGGCCGGGCGCCAGGAGAGCGGTCTCCCGGCCCCTGTGCCTCTCTACTTAAGCCTTAAGATGCCTTATAAAGCCTTCTCCCAAGTTGTCCTAAACGCCCACTGCGAGGGGCCATCGGCAGCCAAGCATCGCACACAGCCCATGAGGCCGGACCCCGCAGGCTTGTGAATATCTGAATGCCAAGTGCGTGCTGTTAAGTTCCGATGGGAGGCCGCTGCCGCTGATGTTGCCATGGCATTACAAAAAGCCATGGCACAACGCGCACGATCCTAAGTCTCATTGCCTGGTACGGCAAAGAGGAGTGTGTCAAGTTGGTGTGCAAAAATGCATGCTAGATCAACGAGTGCTGCCGTGCTGCTCCGAGTACAGGTAGAAACACTGAAGGAGCTGAGTTCGCAGGACCGCAGCTAAAAGCTTGCAGAGAAAAATAGTATACTGTGTTAAATGGCATTAGTGTATATACAACTAAATGTCTATATGTAAAGACATATTGTAGGGGCTGCGCTCACGGACGGGCAGCCCAGGTAGCAATATTCGGGCCTCAAGCCGCAAACCATCTAGAGCAACATTCAACAAGGACGGGACGTGGTCGGGCAGGGAGGGGTTGGGCATGCCTTGGGCTCAAAGCAAAGTACAAACTACATTGATCACGTGATAACGCACTGGGAGCGGGGCTTTTAGGGGCCGGCCGCCGTGGGCTCATGAAGGACCGTTGAAATGAAAACCGAGCCGGTGGAACACGACTTCTGGGCGCCGCCCCAAGAAGGGTCGGCGGATAAATACATTTGCATTTATGCACATGTTATATGTTTGTATTTGTATGTTCTCCACGAGCTATGTCGTGTACTACATTGCATCTGGCTCTGCGGCACTTGTCTTTGGTCAGATGGCTCGTCGATTGCCTGCAAGTGTAAACGGCGTGACTGTTTGATTTAGCCTGCTGCACACTTCAGCTAGTACTAATCGGCTAATACCGATGCTTCCATGCGGAAAACAGTGGTGCTTTAGGTGCACCGCGATTACCAGCGCCATCATACCAAGAGCATTGTCGGTAGTACACCCAACCAACCTGCCTGTCTTCGTGGCTCGTGCTCGCAGTGAGCACGAAACAGAACATCAGTCCACCTAGCGTTCGTGGGCCCCTGCTCAAATATTGCTACGCGGCATGTCATGAATATATATATATATATATATATATATATTTTTTTTTTACTCTAAGTCTATACTATTGTATACTGTCGTGAAGTAGAGTCTGCCGTCATAAAGTGTGCATTCTTCAGCGGTAATTTTTGGGCATGTCGGCCGTGCACTGGTGGCAGGACTTATGCAACGCCTTGGTCGGCCTCGCTCGATCGTCCGGTGCTCGGATCATCGTGGGGCCGCAGGGTCACGTAGACCATGGAATCATAGCAGGCTTTGGGGTATATTAAGTTTCACGACATGCAGGAACTCTCTGGATGCAATTGCTCATGAATTCGTGACCATGTTCTGCAGTGGGACGAGGCCACTTGTGCTCCCGGACGCTGCTGCAGCACCAACCTCAGGCATGCGTTTTCGAATTGTTCGCCACAGCCATCTTTGCTGCTTTGCCCAAATTCGTCTTCTGAGATTGGCACGAGGCCGTTGCTGGCACGGCACGGGGTCGCGCTACCGAGCTCTCGCTGCGATCCCTATGGGACCGACACTTGTGTCCAAGCCTAGACGAGCGCGGCATCCCGCAGTGATGGACGGGTTAACTCTGTCCGCAGCATGACAGACGCTGCTTTCCCACTTTTCTTTGCAGCTTTTTCAGAGACGTGCTCCCTCGACAGCCCGCAGTCTGAAAGACAGCTGCTTGCGTTGGCAGGACTTTGCCAGGGCGCTTGCAGAACTTGCAGCGGTGCTCCAAGGACCGCAGAAGCAGGAGGCTCCTAGCTCCTATGGCAAGGTGTTGTCATTCGAGCAATTGGAATTCGGAATGGCGCATCAAATTGTGATGGTCTTGGATTCACTGCCCACAGCTCCTTTCAGGGCGCAGGGCTTAGGGTTTCCAGCTGTTCCTCATCTGAATTGTTTGCCGCCTGGTCCTTCAATGGACTTCGTTATCTCTAGCGTTGCTCTGGCAGGTGTCGAGCTGTTTAGAGGCGACGTGGCCTGTTCTCGCCTCCTCGACCGAGCAGACACTGCGAGAAGCATCGCAGGAACTGCACGAAAAGCGTGCTCGTCCCAATTTGAGGCCGCTGCAAAATGCCAGGGCTCACGTGGCTCATGCTCCAGGACGACCCGGGGCTTTGCCTCGCCGGTCTGGCGCGATTGGCCGCCGCGCTCCCGCCGGCCCGGCCAGTTGAAACCGGCTAAAAATTGCCTCGATTTTGCCAGCTTGCAAAGACCAGGCCGCAGTCGGAGGAAGCTTCAAGCTTCGTTTCGCATGTGCTTCGCTTTGCCCCCAGCGATGCGGCTGTGAGCTCCTGCGGGCATGTGCCGAGCTGAGGCCCAAATGCCCAAGGTCTGCTAAACCACTGCCAGGACGAGGAGCTCAGATGGCAGCACGCTCGGCTTGCTAAAGTTTGCACCTGTTATTGACTACATATTGTATACTCGAATAAACAGAATATATATATATATATATATGTATGTGTATATACATATATGTGTATATGTTGTGGGGGCCGAAAAGCGAAGCGGGCAGCTTGAAAGAGCCGAGGCTGGAGATGGCGGGACCTTTGCTTCGCCTAGAGGGGCAGGAGGCCCTTCAAGTCTCTTAGGGAAAAGGGTTTAGGGTTTAGGGTTTAGGGTTTAGGAACCCTCAACCCTAAAACGATCCCTCGTCTCCCAGATCCTCATGCGACCCTTGGTTTAGGGCTCTCAGGCTTTGAGGTTGTGCGGAAGATTTAGCTGTTCAGTAGAATCATGACCTGGGACGAGCGGGACGGCTCAAACTACTTGTAGCATGGTTCTGAACGATGCAGAAATTGTCTGCAGAGGCCTGGGTCAGCCTGCTGAGACAACTGGCGCCGCTTGCAAGCAATCCATGGGAATCCTGGGAAAGACTCGGATACTGGTCAACAAAATCTGTAGCTCATTTTACATAATACTTGTAATTAGTACATCATATATAATACCGAATATAACATATAACATATAGTAACTAAGCCTATTTTGAGATTACAGGCGGCTTCGAGGGAAGCTCATGGGTGCCCAGAGCACGCTGATGCAATGTCTGAGTACATCGGACTGAAAGGCTCCAGTCACTTCCGGGACTGCCGCGTGGCGAGGAGAGGTTTTCGGGTTTTAGGGTTTAAGGTGTAAGGGTTTCGGGTTTAGGGTTTTAGGAAGAGAGAGGAGCACATGAGCCAGGTAGGGGACGCCTGTTTTTTGCTCTCCTGTAGGAGATGGCCTCCCGCTTTATCTCGATCTTGCAGCTCCCTTGCTGCAGCTTCGGCACACTGTGATGTCAGACGTCCAGTCCAACCTAATCTCAGCCTTGCTCAGGTGGGTGGCTTCCTGCGATGCCCAGGCCGCTTGCCCTCCTTTCTTCGACTTTGCATTTCAGGTGGGCCCTCCACCGGTCCAGAGCATAGACAGCCACATGCCGTCATTGGTTCTATGCAGGAGCTCGCGCATCGAGTGCATGAACTTCCGCGAGCAGACATCCGCCACGCAGCTGAGCTGCTGAGTCAGGCACCTGCATGCGAGGGACTTTGGGGACGTGGCGGCCCAGAGTAGCCACGTGTACTTTATAACATATATCATACATGGTACAAAAGAGAATATATATATATATATATGTATATATAAATATACATGCATCATACATATATACTATGTTGTAGGGTATATATCTATATATCTATATGTTTCAGTATACATGATCTGTTGCACATAATGTGTTCTATATAGTCTATTACATATTGTTTACCATGTACTGTATATTATGTATTTCATGTTGTATACTGTGTCTTGTTTCCCTTATCATATATTAAACATGCATATTGTGTTTCGTACACTGTCTTCGGTATATTCTATATTCTAAATTATGCTCTATATCTAGATTCAAAAGTCTACATATTAATTTCATCATCATCATCATCATCATCATATATATATATATATATACATACTGGAGGTTTTATATGAATCATTTTATATCGTTTACTGTATATTTTATACTTTACATAACATATATATATATATATATATATATATTTATTCATTTATCATCATACTTATATGTGTATATATATAACGCATATTTAGCATATACACTATATGTTGACATTAACGGATTGTTGTGACACACACACACATATATATATATATATGTATAGGTATATACATATAATACATCATCTGTATCTGCAGCAGCCTAAGAGAGTGCGAGGTTCACCTGGAGCGACCTGATCTGCTGCCTTCTGTGGCATCCGCTTTGGCTCGGGCAGTGCAGCCGCCAGAAGAGCTGCCGGAGGTCGCATTGCAGCCAGGCTTTCCAGAGCTGATGCACCATCGTTCGGCACAATGGACTATTCTCTGATTGCTTAATTACAGCAGCTGCATGAGACTTGGTATGATTCAGGTCTTCATGCAGCAAGACTGAGACTAAGGTACCTTTCCACCCTGGCTGCGCTCTACTCGCGCGTGGCGGCTCTTTTCTTAAACAAGAGTCGGTAAGATGTGGACACCGTGTGCGACACATGGAGCGTGAGGCCTTGCCCAAGAGTGAGGAAGCTTCCAGCCACGAGGCGCCGACAAAAGATCCGGATGTGTTGTAACATCATGTGCAGCACAGCTCTTCCATGAGGCAAGCTGTCATGAGCCTTCCGGTGCATCCCAAGATGACCAGGAAAGACAAACCGCCTTGATGGCTCTGGCGGAGAAGCTGTCGGGAGGGGCCGAGAGGGTACAGGACTCTTTCGGAAGATGGCGTGAAAGCATTGAGATGCCAGTCTGAATCATGAGTAAGCGTATCCCAATGCAGGTCCAATATAATCATACACATTGTGCCCTAATGTGCCTTACAGGATCCCTGAAGGCCCATACTATAAAACCTATCAAGGCCCCCTGTACCCTGCTGCTTGTGCCAGGATCTGCTGACTCCAAGCACTGTGGCACACGACGCTACCTTCCTGGCCCTATCGGCCTTCGCACAGGCACCTTGCTTTGCAGCCTGTTCTCTTTCTGGCTTCCTTCCCTGACTGTAGAGATAAGAGTAGATTGGTCTTTGATCTCTACTGCATCTGAGGGGAGCACGAAGCTGCGGGTATATCAGAAGCAGTCAACGCCCTGCGTTGTCCTTGGCTTCCGCCTGGCTCAGGCTGTATGCAGACCTGTGGATGATGCGCCGGCCGCCAGAGAGCTGCTTCTGCAGGATCCGGCTGACTTGAGAGAGGGAGAGCAACCCAACCCCCCTAGATCTGAGCATTTCGGTTTTTGTTCATGTGAGGATCAGAGTGTGGGCGGTGTATGCAACCTCTCAGCATGTATACCCATGGGCTTATCACTCCCAGCTGCGCAAGGTAGACGCTTGAGCCAGCCGGATAGCACATCTTCGAAGAGCCATGCAACGCATGGCAGATGCACATCACCATCATCCCGCAGCACACTTGTAGGCAACAGCCAGCGATCCCTTGAAATAGTAAGCACACCAATCCTTTTGCAAGAACAGGAAAGGCCTCAAGACAATTCACCCTGAAGCGTCCCACATGTTCAACCCCACAAACCCTAAGCCCCCAAGTGCCATGACTCGACCGCAGGCAGGCCTGCGACTCTTTGACAGCTTGTGCCGCCTCCTCTGCATGAACTTGCTGGGTCTGGCTTTGGAGTAGCGGTGGCTCTGGGGTACTTTAAACTCTGTAAGGCTTCTGCAGCTTGAGGGTTTTGGCCAAGGTCCTTATAGACGCTGAACCCTAAACATGGCGTAGCTCCCACTGCCCGACATAGCACTGTTGGAAGCTCTGCAAATGGTCGTACAAGTGGTCGTGCTGAGGGTCTTGAATGTAGTCAGCATTGATGTTTACCCACAACCAGATTGTGGAACGTGGCACTGCCTCTGTGCAAGACCGCAGCAGTTCTCTGCAGATGTTGTGCCGTCTCGGAGTGTAGGCCCCTTGTGAGGCAGGCATCTTCCTGCTGTGCTTGACTGCCGGAACAGAAAGAAGCCAGTACACATACAAAAAACTCTAAACCCTAAAGGTTTACCCAGGCAAATGACTCGAGCCCTTAGATGTGGAAAAAGCTACAAAACCCCGATGAGGACCTGGGTTAGGGTGACCCAAACCGAGCATCCCAATACGCGGTTTAGGGTTTAGGGTTTAGGGTTTTGGGTTTAGGGTTTAGGGTTTAGGGTTTAGGGTTTTGGGTTTAGGGTTTAGGGTTTAGGGTTTAGGGTTTAGGGTTAGAGCATATGATCCTTATACCCTGAAGGCCAGACATGGAGCAGCGACGGAGAGGAGCTGCTCTTTGCTCTTTTTGGCAGCTGGGGAAGAAGTTTGGGGGGTTTAGGGATTTATGGGTTTAGGGATTCAGGGGTTTAGGGTTTAGGGGTTTGGGATTTTAGGGTGTTTTGGGGCTCTGAGTTCAAGTCTGTAGTCCTTTCGAGAGCGCAGGAGCCAGGAGAGCCTCGGTTCTCTCCGCAGCATGTGCACATCTTCATCACTGCCCTGCGCAGCTTCTGTGTCGGAAAGGCGGGATTTTCCGACCGGGATTGCTTTAAGACAAAGACAACCCTAATAACTTACCTTTGGTTAGTAGGGAATGGAAGACGGGTAGTAATAGTAGTTATAATTGTACCCCATTCCTCCATTCCCTACTTACCAAAGGTAAGCCTAATAAGCCTGGCTGAGGGCTCTGCGTCACCTCCAGTGCTGGCCTTACGGTAGGTTTGTCTTCTGCATGTGAACATATGCACGAACAGAGATCCTGCCGTGGTCGGTGAGGCATCCTGCCTTGACGTTCTACAAGGCCAACTTGTCTAGCAGCAGTCATACTTGATGCTTGGGTTCTCAGCCCCATTCCTCCTAGTTCAACCGATTCTTCCAGCATCAGGTGTGGTAAAGCACACGGTCGCATCCGCAGCAGACAAGGAGGCGCGTTGCAAAGTCTGTGCGGACGGAGCTTTTTGTTGCGGTGACGGCCTGCAACCGCTCACCGATTACTTGCCGCCGAAACACAGGCGCGCCTGTGTCTCGCAGTTCTGCAAGAACTGGCCGCTGATCCGGCCTGTGCCGAGCTTACAGCTTCAGAACATCCCCTAAGCCGGTAATGCAGGCGCAGGGCTGGGGAACAACTGAGCGGTAACAGCACGGATCGGACGAGGTCCTGGCTCACTCAAGGCAATCCTCCCAGGAAAGGAGGCGAACGAGGTGCACAGTATGCAGGCCGACAGCACCGCAGAGAAGTTGATAGCACCGCTTATGAGTATGAGTATGAGTGGTCCAGTGGGCCGTTCGCCACTTTGCCGCCAGTTGTCAGAAGGTTGCAGCAGGTCTTGTTGTGGAAGCTCTAGTTGCCTTTACTTGAATCCTCGTGCAGCAAGCTTGAAGAGATGTCACGAGCAGGAACGGAACAAGCTGCTGCTTTAAACTGCCTATCTTGGCAATTGTCACCCCCGTGTTGAGTTTGTTGCTTGGAGGGCGGCGAACCAAGTGGCCCTGGTGGAACTGCCCAGCGGCGCGCTCTCTAGCCGAATGCAAGAAAGACAGAGGTCATGCTTAGCCATCTGTTGTCTTGGAGTGGATCCCGACCCCATCCAGTGGCTGAGGCGCATGCGGGCTGCGATGGCCGCTTCGCCGGGCAGTGAAGGCGTGTTTGCCATTGTACCATGTTGCAAGGTTTGCAAACTGGCTCCTTGTGACTCGCTTTCAGGAGCCAGCTTTGCGAGAGAAGGCAGGAGTCTGAGTCTGGGGAGAGACGAGCCTTTGTCAGAGTGCACATGGCTCCCGGGCAGGCCAGGAGCGTGGATTCCTTCGGAGGATGTTTGGGCTTTAGAGTTCGGCTGGAGAAAAAAAGATCTATCACACCAAGCGAAGCCACAGCGTATGTGTGTGTGTGTGCGCATATTATGTATGAAAGTATCTTTGTGCATATGCGCATGAACATATGTGCATACGAGTTGCATACGTATGTATGTATGCGTGTATTTGTGTGTCTATGTATGTGCTCGGCCGCCGTGCCCCTTTCCGCATGCATTGTTACACAAGCTCTGTGCCAAAAAGCAGCTGCCCGCAGCATCGATGTCACCAACCATCAATCCATTGTGCGAATGTGGTTCAACCGACCCTGGTCGGCATCTACGAGATACTCGTTGTCGAGTCTTCTGGACTTTATTGCTCTTCAGCGCGCAGTACTAAACGCGAATCTAGCGGGCAAAATGCATGTCCCTGAATGAACCGTTGCCCGTGCACATGTGGACATGCGCGCGGGCGCGCAGAAACAAGCTCGCTCGCTCGCTCTCTCTCTCTCTCTCTCTCTCTCTCGCTCTCTCTCTCTGTATTTCTCTCTTGCACTCTGTCACTCTGCCTGCATTGGAGCAAGCTACTTGTACCACCCGACCTTCAGCATGAGGAAGCAGCATCACAATCACATCGTCATCATCGTCAAACAGTAAATATCCCCGCGGTCCTCTCGCCTCTCCTGCTCATGATTTTCGTCTTCGCCTTCGGCTTGTCATCATCAGCACCATGATCCTCATGGCTATCAGACTATCAGACTATTACCACGAACGCTTCGCTTTAGCATTTTCCGAAGCCAGATGTGTCCAACGCTTGAGGTGTCTTGCGCCTCAGAGCATTAGTTCATCAGTTTGTCCCAGCAACGGCTCGAGCAGTTGAACGGAAGACATTGATTCGTAGAGGCAAATGTCTTTGAGTGCAGAGGACCCCTCCTTTCGTCCCACAGACAGACTCTCTCCTCCCTTCTCCCGACAGTTGTTTCGATTGGCCTGCATGTCAGCAGAGCGCCTTGGTTATTCGTGCATACCGACTAGTAGTTAAGCATGGCAATCATTGACGTCCTGACTGCCATCGCCACTGCCGGAACGACCATCCAGTCATTTTTCGCTTGGTCTGGCTACAATCGTGACAACTTCGGCCAAGGCGTGGGATGGCGCCAAGCCCATCAGTACCAGAAGAAAAACTACTATGCAAATTGGGTGGCGTCTGCTCGAGAGGATCTCCTGCAGCTCAAGGGAGCGTCGATGCATCACATCGGGAACTATATGATGGTGGCGACGATGATGTTGAGCTCAACCGTACTTGCTTTTGCAGTTTCGGGCTTCGACGCAGCTTGCCCGGCGTTTGTCGTCTACACCTTCTACACAAGTGCCGCTTCAGCGGTGGTTTGCTTGATGTTAGCTGTGACTTTCGGAATCAAGGCACAGGGATCAGCCTATGAGAGCACCGCCTTGCTGCTGACCGAGAAGCTTCGACCCTTCAATCCTGACGAGGCCTACAACTACTTAGAGCAGGCGCAGCGCATCGAGAGGTTGGGCGTGGGAAGCCTTCTGCGAGTGCCAGGGCAAGCAGAGGACTACAATGCGAAGCCCAAAAGCCCAGATGATTCAGAGTCGGATTCAAAGCCCGAGTTTTCGGCTGTAGCAGTTGCTGAAAACTTGTCGGAGCTTTGCACCTCCAATGAGCATCTTGGTGATGGCGGGGGGTGCGAGCCTGCCGATGTTCTGAAGCCGGACCCAGAGCTTCAGACGTGTGACTCAGAGGAATCCTCTGGGCTGGAGAATTTGACAAGCCGCAGGGATGTGGAGTATCTCAAGAATTTTCATGAGTTTATCTTACTCTGGAAGCCTCATGAGGATTTCTGCAAGATCTGTATGGGCCTTGGCACTATCTCCTTTGCGGAGGCCTCGGCGGCTTTCACCGTGGGAAAAGTTCTGGGGCACACATCCTACTTCATGGAGCAGCTTCTTGCAGCGACGGTGGCGTGTGCGTTTCTTTTCATTATGATCAATGTCTTCCTGGCCTATGGACATGGTACTTCGAAGCTGTGTCCTTTGTTGCTTGCCACCAGCGACATTTGTGCTACAATTGCTGGCAGCTTGAACGATCCCAGGGCAAATGCAGCCCTGGTGCCAGGGTCATTTTTGCTCCGCCTTGGGTTTTGGGTTGCCATCGCAGTGGCAATTTGCAAGCATAGCCAGTACTCAGAGGCTTCGGCGCACGCGGCGAAGACACCAGTTGACAAGAACGTGGAGAAAGAATTCACAAGCACAGAAGACATGGAAGCGTACAAGCAACGAAGCCAGAGAAAGTATGTTCGAGGACGCAGAGCAGTGCTGCAGGGCCTGTGCGTTTGCGTGTGCATGTGGATCTCTGTGACTGTATGGGCGACAGTTCATTACACGGTTCAGCTTTTTCTAGCGGAGTCACATAGAGCAAGCGTTGCCTTCCTGGAGGTGGAGTTTCCATCACGCTTCACTCCACACGGTCTTGCCTGTGCTGATGGACACATGTTTGTAGCAGACCGCTATAGCATCTATGAGGTCTGGCCAGCGGCTAGTGGCCGGTCAGCTGTGAAGAGGGAGTGCAAACTAGACGGCCCCATCGAAGCCATCAGTGCCACTTGTGACCTTTCAGGTTGTCACCCCGTCGCACTCGTAAATGCACAGTCAGGTTCAATCGTGACGAATTGCAGCGCAGCTTCCTTGTTGCTGGGAGATGGCCGAGTTGCGCAGCATTTGGCCACACCGCTCCATGCTTCCAGGGGCCAGGGGCTGCTTACCACCCATGGGAACGAGCTCGTCGAGTACGGCCAAAAGAACGATGGATGGGCTGCAGAGCGGACCTTGAGCTACAAGTACCCACAGTCCCAGCGCGTGCGAGGTCTTGCATGGAAAGGCAATTCGCCTCTCGTCCTGCGCATTGATCCAGACGGTCATCTGGATCTAGAGGAGATGAAGCTGGGCGAGCGAAGCAGCATCTTGTGGCATCTGCCTACGTCCGTCTCACAGGCTCGGAGTGTCTGTTCTCCCGACGCGGCCTCCGCACTGCTTCTTGTTCTCATCGGTGATCAGCCGCATCTGGCAGCTGCACGGCCTAGTTAGATCCATGTGATGTGTGTTTGGCCCCAAGTTTAAGTCTTTCTGAGTCAGGGAGCACCTGAGCCGACTTTTCGTAACCGTCGGGTTCTGCACTGCATGCCACAGCCACAGGGTGATTCTTTTTGCAGTCCTCAGAGTGATGGCTTGCTCAGACGTGCTCCTTTTTGCATGTGCTACTCTTGACCGTTGCGAAGCTTGCGCTGCTGTTGTAATCGTATAACACAGACTTTGGAGTGGTTGGAGTGGTAGTAGTCCGTACCTGGGATGTTTTCCTCGACTGCTATGTGGCTCATGAGCTCGGCAAAGCTTCGCACGACGTGATGTCAACTTTTACATCCTTAGACTTTTCAGGGCAAGAAGTATGCCGCGGTCTGCTCTTGACTCTGCGTTTGACTGCGCAGCAAAGCTCCTGCAGATGTTTCTGTTAATTCTTGCAAATTTTGTTTCTTGGTGGCGCGTTGTCGTACCGGAGGTACCGCTGATACCAGCCACATTCGTTATTGACCAGAAAAGCTAAGCTTCCAGAGTGTTGCTTCGTCAAGTTTTTGGTTCCCTCGCTACTCTTGGCCCCAGCAAAGCTGCCAGCAGCTGTTGCTGGATGAGTGTTGCATTTTTGCGCGTCTTCTTACACAGGGATGGTGCCGAAGGTGCCATTTCGCAACGATGTTCAGACATCAACTAGGATGAAATGCGAACTCTGTTTCATTTATTAAAGGATCAAGATGAGATGTCATGCGCCCAATGTTATGATCTAAACCTAATCTACCGATACGCAAAATGAGAATGCTCAATCTTCCTATCGAAGAATATAGGATATGTAGGACGCGTAGCGTTAAGAACGGAGGTCCGAACGAGGTCGACCGTTTGTATCTGTAACATTGAAAGGTGCTGGAATTCGAAAGCTTGGGCAATTTTGGTACTCGCAAGCGAGCGGACGTCTCTTCGAACTTATATTGAATTTAATCTCTACAATATAGTCCTAGGCGAATTCCTACGAATTTGATATATCATAAAGCTTCGAAGATTTGATAGAATAGAATAGAAATTGGAACCCTTTAATGATTTCGAATTTAATCTTGAGATGATATTTGAGAACTCAGAGTATACATATTTTAATGATTGGTTATTTCTGGATTTATTTAGGCATTATGGTATACTGGAGATCTAGGATCGGTATATCTCAATAACTAGGAGTTCGATTTCAAGAACTCATACTATATCAAACATGAAATTTCATATTCTAGAAAATTTCACTTTAAATATATGTAAACCACATATGTATATATATATATATATAGATGTATGTAAAATCTCTTCATGATCTACTACAAAATTATATAATAACTAAAGGACCGGATAACCCCACATGAGTAAATCCGTGGATGATGATAAATGAGTTGATGATCCCTCTGCAGCCTTGGGACGGAGTGTTCGCGGTGTTGTGCGTGCAGTGCGTGTGTTGTGTTGTGCTGTGCGTGGTGTTGTGTGTGTTGTGCTGTGTGGTGTGTGCTGTGTGCTGTGTGGTGTTTGTTACGTGCTGTGTGGTGTTTATTGTGTGGTGTGTGTTGTGTGCTGTGTGCTGTCTGGTGTTTGTTGCGTGGTGTCTGTTGTGTGCTGTGTGGTGTGTGTCGTGCGAGTGTTGTGTTTGTTGTGTGTTTTGTGTTGTGTGTTGTGTGTTGTGCGTGTGTTGTGTGTGTGTTGTTTGTGTGTGTGTGTGTGTCTTGTGTGTAGTGTGTGTGTGTGTGTGTTGTGTGTGTGTTATATATATGTGGGTTTTATTTATATGCGAATTCTATATATTACGTATTTGTAGGTTTTA